CTTAAATGAGATAAAATGAAACGCTTTTGAATAAGGGAACTCCTCTAGTTTGATACTGGTGACAGGAAATGCCAGATGCCACACTCTTGTGAGGAAACCTGGGAGAGAAATCACTGGGTGGCTAGCAGAAGAGCTGTGAGAACTGCACAGCTTCCACAAGGATACTCGCCTCTCATCTGTGGCTAAGTGGGCAGACAGTAAATCACATGTTTTCTCCAGAAGCAATTCCCACGCTTATTTTTGAGGTAAAGGAAAGGACTGAGCCCTAGCATGAAGTCATTCCCATCTTTAGGACTGGAGATATCCTTTTTCCATGAGCAGGCATCTCCTTCCTCCTCTCTTTCTCTCTATTTATATATAAAGTAAATGGAACAGACACGGATTAAGAAATTTTTGTCTTACCCTTATTTAAATGGTATTAGCAGGTTTGTACATGGAAGAGACATATTTTGCCCCATTTTAGACACATGTAATCACAGAGTCTGAATAATCAGTTTGTGTACATCCTTAAATTTACACAAAGTGTTTTCACTAACATTCATCTGTTGTTACATACTAAGCTGTAGAACAATGCTTTTTCTAAAGTTTTATAACACAGAATATTTATAATATACATGCTCAATAAGCAGATGTAATATCAATGCTAAGAGAGATCTGACTTCTGCATTTGCAAATTTGCTGTTGCCTCAGAATTTGAAGTGAAATATTGAGGCCAGAATTTTTTAGTAGAACAAAATAATGAGATACTTAGTAATAAATACAGCTGAGTGAAGCAAAACTACAGCTAAATGAACTCACATTTTCATACTGCATGATATAAGCTACTAGCAGTAAGTAGCAGAGATCAGAAAGGACATTCTGTGTTCCATAAAGAGCACAGAATATTTAGGATTACTTATGTTTTTTCTTTCCTTGACATTCATTGAAGTCTCAAACATTGAGTCAACTAGTAACAGCTTATCTATCCAGATGATACATTGACTATGAGAATTTTCTGTGCTAGGAGTTGGATATTGAGGTATTGTCTGAGGAAGGTTTCTGCAATCAGACTGAACATTGTTTTCAGTACTGTTCCGTTTCAGAGTACAGTCTTGAAAAAAACATATTGAAATGATAAAAAAAGAAAAACCACCCCAAACAATTCTCGGTTTGAGAATGGCTATTTGGCCTGATTTTGAGTAGCAGAGAACCAGATCCACAAAAGAGCTCAGATCTCCAAAAGGAATTTTAAGTAAAGGTTTAGGTAACAAAGACTAAATTTGATCTGTAAAGAACCTTTCAGTTTCCTACAGGAGTCTGATTTTTCACTGTTGAATTCCCTCATTGCTCAAAGGACTACTTTTCTTCACATCTCCGATTAAGTCCATCTTCTTGGGGCTTAGCAATGTGGTGTCTGCTTTGCACCTAGTGCATGTCAGTATTTGTTTGAAATTTCAGGTTTGGCCTGCATCATGACAGCTCTAGCACCCGTGTCCTAATCCAGGCTGCCTACTTTTATCACCGATGCTATATGCCTGCTAAATTGATCCATCTAAAAAATGTATTCCATGTTTTCCAGTCTCATAGTTTGTGTAAATGACAGTTACATTAAATGGCTGATCAAAAGCTATGTGTGTTAGTCCATTGTACAGTCTACATATACTGCTTTTCTGCAACATCATACAGTGTATAGGAAACTGAATTCTTACTGCTTTCTTCCCCCAAGAAAAGATATTCTATATATGGCTCACAAATTTGAGAAAATGTTTTGAAATTTTATCTTTTTAAAACTTGCATTTCTCTGTAAAATTTGGTTGAAACTGTATATCTAGTTCAAAATTACTAGTGGTGATGGCAAACAGAGAAACAGAGCATTTCAGGTGGATTCTTCCTTTGGAATCTATTCAAAATATGACTGATGATGAGCTACTATTTTCTATGTCACCTCATATAAACATTTAATTGGTTTAGAGAAACACTCAACCGAGAAGTGAGAAATGTGCATTCAGCTTCAATTTTCTGTTCTGCCTGATGAAATACTCTGAAACCCTTCTCTCTGGAAGATTTTTCCCACATCATGGGGAAGTTACAGACTTTTTGACAAGCAGGTGCATTGTATTTAAAAATCTGTGCACAGTAATCTTCAGTGTCCTTGTATCCCTTTTACCTTTGGCTTGATTGCTTCACCAGTAGCTGATTCCTCGAGAATACCATTTAGATAGGATGAAGTCTTCCAAGAAACTTAGACGAGAATGTCCCTCCCAAAGGGGGAACAAGATGTTACTCGTGCAACTCCTCAAGGCATCTATTGTCTAGTCTCATTTTTGTGTTGTTTCACTTCAGGTTATTTAAATATGTTATTTGTTGGGTTTTTTAAGATAGGGAATATGTCATGTATAAATTCTTGATTGCTTAATTATGACACCATTAGTTAGCTTAATAAAATAATACAAGTGATAAAGCTTTTCAAATGAAAATTTCTTAAATGTTACAGTATTTTGAACTGTTTGGATAACTTTTTCTTCCATATGCTTGTTGCTGAAGTCTTTATGTTCCTGTTCTTCATAGAGCCACTCACGCTTTAAATACTGTGAATAGCCAAAATCCTACAGGACATTTGATAGCATATCTTACATAAGTCTTTGCACGACTGTGACCTAAGAGCTTTCAAAACTTAATTTCCAAAATAATCACATTCACTTTACCCATCGGGGACAGCAGCATATGGCAGAGAAGCCACATGGGCTAGATTTCTTGAACGGTGCAGAATTGCTGTCAGTGTGAGGCAACAGCTTTTAACTCCTACATTTCTTTCAGTTTGCTTAGCCATTGCTTCAAGAATAAAAATACAGCCTTTTGATGGTTGCTGAAACATCTACAAATTTTTCTTTTCCTTCATGTGAAATAAGATTGTAAAGCTAATGGATAAATTTGGCTCATTTACAAAGTGGTGTATGCACACACTCTCTAAAAATAGACATATTACAGTCGGCAGAGGCTTTTGAGGGCAATTATGGTGTTCCTTTGGTGAAAAACCGTTCAGAGGCTTAATTAGCCAGAGCACCTAATAGTAGATACCAGAAGGTCAAATGAGCTAAATTTACTCACTCTCTTAGCAGTTCTCCTTCATAGTGCTAGTAACTATTACTACTATTACTATAGAGTTCATAAATATAACAATACTGTACCTTAGTAGTAAGAATATAGTTACTAAAATAGTCTGTTCAATTTAGTTTAGAACAGTCAGTTTGTAAACTTCCCAAAACAAAGATATTTTGGAACTGTATTTAACATAAAAGGTGTAGGCAAGCCTTTCAGAATCACTTCAAACCTGAAATGCGTATTATCTCCTCAGTTCTGACATCCCTTTCTTTGCTGTTTTGTAAATTGGTTGAGCAAAGGGTAGAGCTTAGACCTTTGTAGTATCTCCACTGAATTTATGCCATATATTAGCTTTCAGATTAGACCAGTGTATATGAAGGGTAGGTTTCAGTAGCAGAAAATCTAGGCAAATCCTCTCTTAAGAGTTAGTATTATGTGCTGCTTCTGCTGAACTAACCTTCTTCAATTCAAGGTAGATACAGCTTGGTCACTTAAATCAATACTCAACATCATGCTTCCAGGTTTTTCTGGTAGACGTTATGAATGATGATCAAAAGTTGTTATTTTTAATTATTTTTAAACATACAAATTTTATGCACACGCACACACACACATGTAGATTTTTATGTTTGTTTGAGAACTCATTTTTATTGATTTTTGTTCATAACAGTATTGACTTTAATTTAAAAGCCTTAAAAGGCATTGTTCACTATCTACAGTAGTCTTTGCAGGTGCTTTTATTTTAAACAGGATCAGGTGTTTTACAGGTTCATGTGTTATGACGATTTGAAATGAAAAATGGAGTAAATGTTTATGTTATACAACGCTTAGTTATGCACATGTCTTCAGGTATTCCAAAGGGCTTAACTTCTTTATTGTTGTTCTTCAATCCAGCATTTGCATGCTATTAATAGAGGGATATTAGTTTATTTTTTTGAAAACTGTGATGTTTGGAAAAGGTGTGTAAGCTAGGTCTAGGTCATACAGCAACCCAGGTAGCCTACTGCCTGCCTGCTCACACACCCTTCCTCTGTGACTTTAAAGCTCTTCGCCATCGTGTTACTAAAATTCAGGTGCTACATCATTGTATTAACAGACCTACGCTATTCATGTTGCCTACATTTTGGCCATGCGCTAAACGCATTCCTGCTCACACAACAAGAGAAATGTCTTCATTTAAGAGAAAAATGTGAAGTATGATAAACAAGTTTGGTGAGAACAGAGAATACTAGCTGAATGCAAAGGCAGGCAGGTGTTAAGGAGTTATCACCTATGACCGTACAGTAAGCACAGGTTAGCACTTTCAAATGCTATTAGTGATTTTGGTTTTGGATAGGCTTCCCTTAAGATGACAACTTTATTTTTTTAAAGAAGCACAGAGAATTTACTTTCATTAAATCATGTTCTTTGTGGATACCTTTACTTCGAAACACCAAAACTTTTTGCAACCAAAATTACAGGTCTCATTGTAAACCTTAGCCACATGCTAGTACAGTATTTTCATGTCAGCTCATAAAGATAAGCAGCCACACTCATACATTGGTTAGACAAAAGATTGTTTGACTTTCAGAATAACTAAGCAACAAGAGTTAGAGGAACAACTGTTCTGAAAATTTAATTGCTATCCGGTACAAGGTATTTAGATATGAATTTCGGGCATTTAACTTTGTTCTTTCATACTGGAGTTCTTAATTGTGATGTATCTGCTACATGTGGTTTTGCCTTTCATTTGGCCTGATCACTGAGGTATTTACCGGATTTTAAATTGATTTTGTTTGCCTTGTGAAATTTCTCTGTATGCTTTCTTTCTTTTTTTTTGTCTGATGCTGGCAGAAAAAAAACCCAAACAAACAAAAAAAACCAAGCGAAAACACATAACAGGTCTCACTCATTTCCCTTTCTTTGCTTTTATTTTACAGGAGACACATGAAATTGTGGCTATCAAGAAATTCAAAGACAGTGAAGGTAACCTTTTCTGCTGTACAATCTTTCATGTCAATAACTACATTGTTAATATCTCATCAGTTAAAATAGGAAGTCTCATATATCAAGACATGATTTTAAAATTATAATGATTTATTAGCTCTGTGAATATTCAATGTATTTGATCCTTCATACCTGCCTAGGGACCGCATTATACACTGCAACTAGATAACTACCTTTCTTTCTTGGTGCATCTGTCTTAATATGGCTGAGATTGTGGTGCCAGACACATTAGTAAGATCTACTACTTGGAGACTGGTTGTGATCAGAAAATAGCAAAAACTCCTCTTGTAGTAGTGGCTAGCAGAGTCTGTGGGCTTTATCACTCTTCATCTGTGGGAGGGGATCTAAGCATTAGGGGCACTTGAAGGGGTGAATGGAGGAGACTGAGAGAAGTCATTAAGTTCAGTGGTACAAAGAGGAATCTGGGAGCTCTCGGGCATTGGTGGGAGGACTTGAGGGACCTAGGTGGCAAGGCAGCAGCTCTGCCCTCCCTTCAGCAGGGTCCACTCTCCACAGGAAACTTGCTCTCTGCCCCCTTGCAGCAGCCTCTGTGTACTCTCCAGTGTTGCTGAGTTTGCTGCGAGGGAGGAAGAGCCGACTCCTGCAAGGCCTACTGTTGCTGGCAAAGTGGGTGGCAGAAGACAGGACACATGGAAATTATTGCCAGTGCTGCACACACCTATTCCTCACCCAGCAGTAGTAAATCTAAAGATCTCTACAGGACTGGCTCTCTGACCTGCGCTTGTTGGGGGACAGTGAATCCCAGTATCCTATCATAGGCAAAACTGGCAATTAACCACGAGAACAACTGTCTACCTTGCATATATCAGAGGTTAACCCTGATCCCTAATGACCTAGCACAAACAGAAGGAGAAGCCAAGTATGAAGTAATAACAGGAGTCATCCTGGTCTGAGGCAATGCAGCTATGATTTGCCATGTACCAAGGCTTTAGCTGAAAGCTAACAGTGGTTTAAAGGAACAGCAGTTGATTTATTTTAGCAAACTTTTCTTTTTTGCTATGGGACTGCTGGTGGTTATGGAGGTATGGTTGGTTACAAGGACTGCAATGTCCAGTCAGTTAGACACAGCAGTGTCTGTTATTTTATGCAGTGCAACCTCTTTGCACTGATTTTGCTATTCAGAAATCTGTTTTAAATCCCTGTGAAAGAATGTAGAAGATAATTTAATTGTGGTGACCATCTTGACCAGGTCGTGAGAGTACTTCAGAATTGCTTTCTGGAACTCTCTGCGGTTAGTCAGTAGGAATCCTAGGCAATGAATCTCAGTATTAAACCCTAAACAGGATTATGATATTAGCCCGTCTACCAAAAAAATGAGAACAAAAAATGCAACATTGCCATTAGGTCTGGCTTTCCAAGACTGTTACATAATATCAGTTTACATGACTGATGACTGCTTTTCAGAGTTGTAGCTAGTTGTTTACAAGTTTCTGGAAATATGACAGAAGTTCTTTTGATGGATTTGATTCAGCCCATTTCACATCTGTCTCGTTAATATGGTAGTTCATTAGAAATCTGAATATACTGTAATTGTTTCTATTGCCATTTTTGTTTCTCTGAATTTTTGCTGTTGTTTGACATATGCATGCTAAATGTGCTGGAAAGAGTGTGTCTAGTTATAGATGAAATTATGTAATCAGGCTGATGCAAGCCAACACTGAGCCCTCAGTTTTAAAATGAAATGATTTAGATTGCTTTTAATTATATATTTTTTAAGCAAGACATTTATGATGATAGTATTTTGTTTTCCTCTTCCCTTCTGCTACACTTCTTTTTTTTTTTTTTTTTCCTCTCTTCTGATGATAATTATGTGTCTTTGCATGACCTGTGTTAGTCCCTCTCCCCAGCAGACCTGTTTTTGACTTTTGCTTGCTTGGAAAAACAGTTTCTCTTCCTTGTTTCTTCTTCTTCTGTCTCTGACTGTCATTGTGTCACATGACCTGTAAATGTGATTTAGCTTTGAATTTATGCAATCGTATCCCATTTAATATACCTCTCTTGTGGATAACAGTTCAAAGAGATTAAGAATCTTGCTTCTACATGTCCATGGGCAAATTTACTGAATTAATGGATTTCATTTTACTAAATGAAAAATAAACCATAATATAATCTGATTTACTTGACATTTCATTGGTAGTATCCTTTAGAACCCAGTCAGTTCAGGGCCCCTTGATGATAAGCAATGTGTACAAAGCTTTAGTAAAACACTCCTCCTTTCTTAAACAACTTTCAGACAACTAAATTGTCAAAACAACAGTTAAATTTCTTGACTCCTCAGAATCAGATTCAAGGCTTCTTTGAATCAATACTTGCTCTACTGCCCTCTGTGACTGCTACACTGGACTGTATTGCTGAATGCGCATTGAAAGCCTTGTGGGGAAACTTACAGGATTTACGAATCTGTGCTTCAGTCTTAAACTTTTTCATGGCTTTTGAAGAATAAAATTATTTTAGAATCAAATAGATTTCTTGGACATTGTTCAAACTTTGCATTCCACTGTTTCTGCTGAGGACGTATTAACCTTGCCAGTACTTAATGCATTTGACATGTATTTGTGGGGTGGAGGATGTGCCTGTATATGTACATGAATATTTTTTGAAGCATATTAGTGCTCTTCATAATGAAAATTATTTGTTTCTTATGATTTTTTCTGCCACTGAAAACCTAGAGGGTAGTGACAGGGAGTCTGTGAGTGGTGCATTAATGACAGCACAGTCACCAGTTACCTTTCTTCCAGTGTCGAAGCATCCAGACAGCAGAGAGAGTCCACACTGGAAAATAAGCATTTTTATTGGTAACATCTAGAAATGGAGAATTTAATCAGGGTTCAAAAGAAAGATTTATAACACTTGTATACTTGGGGGTTTTGTTTTGGTTTTTAATGTTTTATTCTGTCACTTTGTACTTTAGAAAATGAAGAAGTCAAAGAAACCACTTTACGAGAGCTTAAAATGCTTCGCACTTTAAAACAGGAGAACATAGTGGAGCTGAAGGAAGCCTTCAGAAGAAGAGGAAAATTATACTTAGTTTTTGAATATGTGGAAAAAGTGAGTTGGGTTTGTACTATCCTTGTCACAGTTAAATCATCAGCTTACTGGAAAAGTCTTTAAAATTACTTCTACTTTTAAAAATTAAGCTAATCTATAAAGAGGAACAGCTGAAACTTTAATACAATCTGAATTGTTGTAATTAGATTTTTATTGTAAGAAAGCAACACTGGTAACTTTACTGTTGTTTTTCCTTCATGTGTTGGTATTTAAAAAAAAAGTTCTTCCATATATGAACACAAATATGTTCAAATTATGTAGACACTGGAATACATACAATTTGAAAAAAAATTTTCATCCAAGCACTATAGTCCAGTTTAATTGTAAAGCTGATTAATGCTGTGTAATGTATCTTGATGTAGTATTTTTAAACAAGACCATAGAATTTTGTCCTTGGAATCTGTTTCAACTTTCTCTGTTCTTCGCTGTTAAAAATAGGATTTGTTTGTATATTTCTGTAGCAAGGCCACTATCAATAGTTGCTTAGAGGGATTTGGCAGAGATCACTGTCATTATCTCCAGTCCTGACCTCATTTGAAATGATTCCAAAATTTCCTTAGATTGGCCTACTACTGCCAAACATTCTGGGCTGTTTCCAGGGAGAAACAACTTAGGACAGATCGGTCTTTTGTTATTTTTGCAACCTTCATGATGAAGGTAGACCTTCCCTGTGAATTCTTACCATTTAGCATTTCTTCCTAGAAATAGTTAGATGGTATTCAGATACACACATTAAAAATAAATGCAAGCTTAAATATATGTGTGTATCTAACTTTTATAAGATGTTGTTCCCTTGATTGAAATTTTCATTTAATGTCCTGTCAGGGTGATGTCGCAGTCTAGCTGAGTGCTAATCCCCTTCAGTCAATTCTCTCTCATGTATAGATTCCTTACCCTAAATGCTATGTCTCCTTTACCTCAGTTTACAATTTATTATGTCGTATAATTTTATTGCATAATGTGAGGTGACCTGTGTTAGCCCACAGTTTGGCAGAAATCAGTTTTGTTTTTCACCAGCAGATTAGCAACTTCTAATGTGGTGGATCTTATGTAGATTGAACATCCAGAGTTTGACTTGTTCCACCCATGTTCCTTGTAATTGTTCCAGATACGTGGAATGTCTTTGATCACACACCAACTTAGAACATACATTTAATTTTCCGTTATATTTGACTCGGCTAAGCTCACTGTAGTAGTGAGTTGGAAGAGCAGCATCAGTGAAGGACATTTAATTGATCTGATAAGAAGCATACTTCAAAAATTGTTAATATTGGTAAAAACACCAGGCTACAGTATCTTAACATTATTTGCATCGGAATAAAAGAATATAATGATAAAGGTAGACATCATGTATAGTCTATGTCTAATGTCATTTCTATATTAATGGTCAACTTTGTTTTCAATTAAACTTTACCAGTCCATGAAGGTTTTTTATTTTCAGATATGTCAAATAGTTTCCAAAACAGTGTCTTTGAAGACCAGGATGATTTCTATATTTTCAAATCAGGGAAGGTTAGAAGGAACTAAATAAAATGTGGTATAGTAGGCTTAGTTTTGTGTTAACTGGTGATGAGCACTTTGAATCTTTCGGTGAATCTTAGCTCTGCAATACTCAAATCCAGATTACTTAAATTCACATTTAGTATAATCTCCTTTATTCATCATCCCCTTAGTTAATGTCTTCACACAGGATTATGTCTAGGTATGTTGTTGCTACTATTTTGGTTCGTATTTGTAACACTAACTTCTTGACTTATACAGATCCACAGGCTTCTGTGTGGACAAGAGTCTAACTAAAATCAGTATGGTTCCTTAACAGAAAATTCCCTTTCTCAGATCTGAAGTGTATTTCTAAGGAAACTTACACTCAAGCACATAAATTCCAGTATTTATTCACAGACTGCAAAACTTAGAAATGTTTTCAAATATTATCAGTTTCCATTTCTTTTGTTATATATTTGTGTTGATTAAAACATATTACAAGAGAAACCTCAAAAATTTTATTATGCAGCTAAAGAAAATGTCAAAGACATTTATTTTGAATGAAAAATCTACAGATGCTCAAATCCATAATTAAATGAGTTGTGTAAAGCAGTATAGTCAAATTTTTTTTTCCTATTTTAGCGTTCAGTAAATAAGACTTTTTTCTCTTCAAGCAGGCTGCTGCTGGCCATTATTCATAAAGGGTTCAGAATACAAATTCCATTGTACTTCTAATTGTGCAAAATTTGAGACATTTGCTGACATAATGGAAATCTAAATGTCCTTTTCAAAAAAGAAATTAACTAGTATAAACAATCAGTTTATTTTCTTCCCTAGGTGTAGCCATAAAACAGTTAATATGGCCACAGTTACTGTAGTGCAAATATGTTTAAGATCAACACAGCTGTTATATAGTTATAGGATACTCCCTAGGTTACTATTTATGCCTCTGTGAGGCATTTTTACATCTGTTACTTTATTTGCACTAACAGGTTTGTGTTGCTTTAACTATATCCATTTACATACAGACATGGTTTGTGATAATCATGGCCCTGCTATGTCAGAGCAGCAGAACTAGATTAATAATAAACAGTACATTAAAGCACAATCAAATATTTACAAAAAGCTGTGCTCTACCAAACTTTTCATATAGCTACATTGACCTGGTGTTTCTATTTAAGCAACTTTTTGGAACTAAATGACTTTTTAGAAGTTTTAAGATAAGTGGTTTGATGAGTCTTTTAAGGAATTGGGGGATATTTGTGTTTCACCTTTAAGGATTATTGTCTTCGCAAGTGCTTTCTCTAGAAAGAAAATAGCTGGTAGTATGATTATGATTAAAATACAGTCCTTGAATGTTAAACTACTGATTTTGCATAGCCAGGCTTAGTGGCCTAACTATGTTGCTTCAGAATGCTGAAAGCTTGTTATCTTCCAGCAACTGCATTATAACTCTTTCAAATAATGTGTCTTTTAAACATTTAGAATATGCTTGAATTGCTAGAAGAAATGCCAAATGGAGTTCCACCAGAAAAAGTGAAAAGCTATATCTACCAGCTAATTAAAGCAATTCATTGGTGCCATAAGAATGATATTGTTCATAGAGGTAAGTGTGTAGTTCTCCACGTGGAAATAAGCCCTGCATAGGAATTTGCTTTCTAAAAAGAAAGATGTTATAGCTTGAAGTAATTTGCATTTAACATAAATACAAGCAATTGCTTTATATCAACAGAAAAAAATATCTGTAAATGTGGCTGGGTCTTAAGTCTGTTGCATGACTTCAGATTGTTTTAAAACTAAATTCATCTACATATAAAGCTTGCTGTCCACTGTCATTGGTGTATGAAATAAAGATTGTATCACATGCACAGCGAAGTGAAACTGCAATGCAGACAATGCCAAAGGAAATTTTCTTTTTTAAACATTTCATGGTACTCAGTGATTTCACTTTTGAATCTGATAATAGAATATTAGGAGAAAAATAAATCAAAACTTAGAGCTTGGTCCCCCATATTTTACTTCTTAAGGCAGTTCCTCCCAGCTTCCATGCGTTCATCTCTTTATATTTACTTTCTCCCTCAAGCTTCAAGCACTTACATATCTTGATGTGTGACTTTATCTAGTTTTATGTATTTTATCCCAATTTAATAAAATTGTATTTTGCTTTGTGGCTTTGGAAGAGCAACATTTCTAGTTAATGTTTCCAGTAAATTAAAATTCTCACACAAAATGCTATATATTTAAGACTGATCAAACATATGCAAGTCTGAAAATATTTTGTAAAATAGAGTTTGAAAAATATACCATGTATGGAAACCACAATAATCCATTTAGGAACAAAAAAAACAGGCTTAAAACTAGACAACGCATTTTTTCTGAAGAAATTACAAGAGGTGATCAAGAAGACCATTATAACTGAAATCGTTGAGCACAACATACTTAACATTTTATTGGTTAACTGGGTAATTAAATGTCAGTTCTTTGTATTATTTGCAATATGCAATATTCTGCATATTGGTTTGCTGCCCAGAAATATCTGTAAACACCTTTTATCTTCCCATATTTTGTTGGGAAACACTTCTACATGTTCACAAACTGAATTGGTGGAAGCTGTTTCGGCAGTCGCTCTTGCAATGCTTTGTTTATGACTGCATGAATGTCTCTAAATACAATATAATGAACTAATATTTGTTGGAAAAGTTCAAAGTTAAAAGGAGAAGTTAACAGCATTTTTTTTCTCTCTCTCACTCTGATACTCCAGATATCAAGCCAGAGAATCTCTTAATAAGCCACAATGATGTTCTGAAGTTGTGTGACTTTGGTAAGTTCAATAGCTAGAATACATGCTTCTTACCTTTTTAAAGAAAATCTCTTGCAGTGAACTTTTGCCTTATTCTTATGAGAGTTCTATAGTATGTCCTGTTTAAAACCTTTTTAGTGGTAATAATTGATTACTACTTCAAGTTTGTGGTTAGTAATTTAATTTGAAAGATCTTTGGCTTAATTCGCATACCCTGTAAAGTACTCACATTAACAAGTCAATAGAAAAGCTGCGTTCATCTCTTCCTGTATGTGACATGGTTTTTAGTTGAAGTGTTACTGGCACCCAGCTGAGAACAGCGCAGGTGATAAGATGATTTGGAGGCTAACAAAATGGTAGGTTTGCCTGGGCTGCGTATTAAAAGATAATTCTTCTTTGTTTACTAAAGACACCATAATCTTATACTTTTTATATATTTTTTCGAACCACTGACTTTCAGGGACTGTTATATGTGTAGTTACAGGTCAACTTTTACTGTTCATTAAGGAATCATGTGTCCACATATGATTAATGACTGAATGGCTGGAGCTTAGAGGAGGGGTTGTACATGTAATGTTAACTCTGATGTTTCCTGACCTATCAATACCTGTTTAATACCAGCTTTAAGGCTTTGGAGAATCAGCACCCAAGCACAAGGCAAACTTTGCCCATGTGAATAAACCCCAGAAGACAACAGGACAGAGTGTACACTGTTCCAACAGTCTGTATTTTTATTGTAAATGCTACATAAACACAGAATAAAATATTATTCCCTCTAAAAAGCTTGCAGTTTGGCTTGGTAAATAAAAAACCAATTCCATAGTGCTACCCAAGGGCACTTTTCAGTGAGAGCAGTTTGAAAGCTGTCATTTCAACTTCTGCAATTTTGAATGAAAAGAACTGCTAAAAAAATAGATTGAAATAGTTTTTTAGGAACACAGAAAAGGCGGTTTTAATTTGCAGTGCTGCTTATTTCTTTTAATCCTAAAGGCATTTTTGCTTAAGTATTCAGAAACAATAACCGTTCTAGGAAAAGCCTTAGAAGATTTGGTCCGTATGAGTTCTTTGAATTCAGGGCAGTTTATTCTGCAGTGTACAGAACTGCACAGCTCTGATAGAACGCCAGGTTACTGTTGCGTGGTGCCCTCAATGCCTTTGCCTTTCAGTATCCACAGGCCTCCTGCCTGCACTGCTGTGGCCACTCTCCCCTGGCAGCTCTGTGCCCAGGCTGTCCTGGCACCATTGTTCAGAGCCCAGAGCTGGTGGGGCAGGATTCTTCCCTTACTCTACACTTCTTTTCAAGGCCTTGCCCCTGCAAAGCAAACCCCACTGGATTTGGCAGGGCCAGGGCTCTCCCAGGCAGGTAGGTGAAGGTTGGTGTAGCTATTCTTTGCTCCCTCTCCATCCCTTCACCCCCCTGCACCAGCTTTGGGTGCTTAGGAGACCCAATCACTGCCTTGCACAGAGCTTAACAAACCAATCTGTAGGCAGTACCCGCCCCTGACCAACACGTGCTCCAACTGGGGCTAACGGCATCACAAGCAGGAACAGCCAGTGGGGCCATGAGTGGGTCCTGATGGGAACTGTTCACCCGCGGGGCCAAAGGGAAGAGCCGTCCCTGGCCCTCACCCTTCTTCCCTTGTTTGTGTTTTCTTTCTTTGGGGGGGTGGGGGGGTGCTGATGTCCCCCCTGAAAGTAACATTCACCATCAGGAGTGGCATATGCCATCAGCTAACAAGTCTTGCATATGAACTCAAGTCAACATCCTCTGTGCAGCAGTATTACAGGAAAATAAAAAGCTGAACAAATGGTACAGTTGTGTTCTGGATGTCAGTTTTCTTAATATAGATGATGTGAATTCTAGCAGTGATGTTCTGTGTGGTCCGTTGCCTTGCTCACGCTGTACACTCCAGCCATGTTCTCTTTCTGCTGCTGGGAAAGACATGCAGTCACAACATACTCATGGTGCTCGGCACAGTCTTGAGGAAGGCAAACTAAGTTATGGGAATGTCTGTTGTTCTTACTGTTCATGTGGGTTAGTTTTAATTTTGATCAAAGTTTCAGATTTAGTTGAATTAAAATTCCAAGCAACTCCTATAATTTGGATCAATTTAAATTTTTTAGCCTTATTACTAATTGACATTATTGCTACTGGCTTAAGCTATTCCTGTAAAATGTTTGTTAGAACGGTATTAGCCACTGAACCTGTACAGATTAGGATACAAGAATTCACCTTTTAACACAGTTTAACATATGCTGTCTGCCTACCTAACTTAATTCATGTTTTGGAACACAGGTACTTGTCACATACAGTGCCACATTGCTCATGTGATAACAAATGCAAAGAAAAGGTTCATGCATCCATCCCACTGCAGATACTGAAGTAACTGGATGTTTCCGAACAGCCCAGTGGACAAAACAGTTTGAATAGAAAAGTTCATAAATTTTTAACAAGATAGTTCTTCATAATCCTTGTGCCATGTGTTCTGTACATATTGTGCTAGATAAAAATGAGATTGAATATGATGCTTGTCTGGACACATGTTGTGTGGGTGTAATTTCTGCCAATAGAAGTGGAAAAAGAGAACAGTACAAAATGCCGATTACAGCAGATGCATCTGACTGTTGGAAATAGGCTTTCTGACTAGTATGTTTGCTGTTTCAACACCAAGGCTTCAGAATTACTTGTTTTAGCAATCTCTTAGTTTCTGTATGATGCGTAAGCATAGAAATCATGAAACACAGGACTGGAAAAGACCTCAAGAAATTCTCTAGTTCTTCCACCTACTCAAAAAAAAAAAGGATTAAGCATGTCTGTGTCATTCTTGACAGGTGTTTACTTAGCTTATTCTTAAAATTCCGAATAATGGAGGTTCCCTAGTGTTCCTAGGCATCTATTAAAGTACTTACATGCCATTAATGTTAGAATGCTTTACTTTGCATCTGACTCAAATTTGCCTTAGTTCTCTTGTAAGAAACTGACAATCTTCTCCTTTTTTCCTTACACTTTTTTCCTTGACATCTCTCCTACCATGTTCTGAATTGTTTAAAATTTCTTGAAATTTCTTATTTTGCTTGTTCTCCCTTCTTCCATCATGGTGCATTTGCAAACTACTGCTTTTATAGTTGCTTTCAGCCAAATCACCTTCTGTCTTCATCTTCTAATCTGTTTCTTCTCACTGTTCAGAGTTTGGTCTGATCTTCTCCCTAGTTACCTTCTCTTGTTTTTGTATCAAAAAATTCTTCCCAGTACCTCAGCAGAATTTGGAGAAAGGAACAATAAGCCTAACTCCACCACGACAAAATAAAAGTAATTGTGCCCTTGAAAAGGTATTATGCTTTCTTGAATTATTAATTCTGTCCATCATCTTTCAGCATGGTGTCATAGAGTCAGAGCAGTAGGGAATCCATAAAATGGTTTCTTACATCACCCAACAATATATAGATGACACTGAAGCCCACAACTATCTGTCTTGCCACATCAAATCTGTGCTGCACCTAGCCTGTAAAGTTGGGGGCTGATTTTTCAGGCTACGTTAGTTGCTGCTGATTTCTGAACATAGTGACTCCTGACTGTGTCCAAGTTCCAGTAGACTAGTATAGAGGGAGGAGGATCCATCCTTGACTTATTGATTCTTCTGGTGCATGTAGGCTGCCAGGCTTGTGCATTACATTAGCATGTCTTTTTATTTGTATCATGTGACACTTTTTTTTTTTTCCTTTCTTTCTTTCTTCAAGTGTTTTTTTTTTTTCCCCTCATTCAGTGTAGGGCTTCCCACTGTTCATTTCGGCTGTCTCATTTCTGCAGTGTAGCTCCTTGTTATCTTCCTTCTCTTCTTTAAACACATGAATGAAAGATTTTTCACTGACAAGATTAATCAGATAGGCCATGTAATTTGAAACAGAAACAGGGCTGCCTAAGCACTTCTAAATACAGTAATGTTTAGAATTGTTACAAGTAATAAAAATAAATCCTTTCCAGCTTTTCTCCAGCAGCACTGGTAATGTTCATTAAACTTTATGGAAACAGATCAGAGTTATTATTATTTTGGGACAACTTTGAAATATCTGTCCCTCATCACACATGCCTTTTAGTTTGCTAACACTTGAAAACAGAGGTATCTTGCAAAAGTAACAGCCATAACCTATGTCAGTAACAAACCCATCACTTTCTCAAATCACTAGTCTAATAATAATCTGCACCCAAACCTTTTCCTCAACTTGGAGTAAATTAGTGTTCCACAGGAGTGAGTGGGGTTGGGCTCCTTCACACTAAGCTGCCAAATGAGATACTCTTTCAGAATACAAATTTAAAAAAAAATAAAAATCACAACCTTACAAGCATAGTTGTGTGGGTAAAGTTTTGGCAGCTTTTGCATAAGAACACAGATATAAAGAAAAATTAATATTGTATTTAAGTAGCACTTAGTGATTCTGAAAATGAAATGATGTCTTATACCTCTGCAGCACTTCAGAATTTTTATTCTTTCTTCTTCACTCATGCAATAGTGGAAAGACTCCTAGTAATTTCACTGAAGTGAATTTTGGACCAAATTTTATGCTACATCCCTGTAAGAAAGCATTTTGAAAGTGTTGCTTCTGCATTTCAGTCCCCAAAATCGTTCTCCATTTGAGCTCCAGTAAGGAACCTACACATCTGGAGTCTTGCTGTGAATATCTGTCTGTCCTCAGTCTCACCTTAATATTAATGATTTATTTGAAAATAGTAAGACACTTGATACTTTTCTGAAAACAGTGCCAGCATCTGCCTTAGGGTATTTCTACATGAAGAATCCAGTAACAATTACCATGCTGCTCGGCTGACTTTTTATAAATAGAGGAGAATGAAAACAAAAATAAAACTTATTCTTACATCTGGGTTTTCCGGTATATGCACTCTTCTCACAGTTGGTGGTCTTAAATGTTATGCCTTAGGACAGAAGTTAAGTTTTGGTACAATTGCAAATAAATACACTTTTTTGTTTATTCTTAACAAAGTAATGTGGAGGAGGAAGCTAATTTGGACTGTTTTTCTGATTCTAATTTACTAAGACCCTTGCTATGAATGCAGTGCTAAAGCAGGTGGGAAGCTGACAGATGTGGAATGAGCCAAATGCAGATATAAAGCAGTTTTGCTGATTTTTGGTAGACTCCTGCCTTTTGTAGTTCTGGGGACATGACACTGTTCCTTGCCAGGGCAGGGAGGGAGTGTCCTTAGATAAGAATAATACATAGTTTCTTGACCAGTTTAAAAAAATAAATGCAGTGAGGCTGTAGTAGTTAAGATGAATGACTGGAAGAATCTACTCCCCATGCATACACTTCTAATGTCATGGATCTTCTGCAAACAGCATCTCAGTGAAATTTAGTGGCAGTAGTTCAATAGCTTGCATGACATACTGACAGGTAATTTTTATCAGTTTTAATTACGACAAAGCACCAAAAGTAATAGCAAAATGCCATAGACTAGACTTCTGAGGAGAGTACACAAGTAGTCATTAAGGCAGACATGCTGACTTTTAGTGTTGTATCAATACAAGCTTGCATTTCAGTAGACAAACAGTTGTTGGAGACATCATTCTGCACTAGGAGGTGTAAACAATTTGCTTCTATATAAATAGGAGTGACCTCTTACTGCCAAAATTGGTAATGATATGCATATTGTATTTAAAACAGGCTGTAATCTTTCACACTGTTTCTTTGACAGGCTTTGCTCGTAATCTCTCTGAAGGAAGCAATGCAAACTATACAGAATATGTGGCTACCAGATGGTACCGCTCACCTGAACTCTTGCTTGGGTAAGTACAGTTTGTAGAACTGCCATGGTGAATCTTGACTGATTCTTTACATTTTTTCAAGCTCCTTTTGTAAGATTTACCCGTGGAGTAAAAAGACTTATAAAAAAGACTTGGAAAGAAGGCATCACTTGTGGCCTTTTTAGTTACACAACATTTTACTCTTTGTCTATAGTAGTAATGAGAATTAGGAGGAAAGACATGGAAAGGTTGGCAGACATAGTATTAATCTGACCTGCAGTTTTCAAAATGGTTACATTACCAAAGGAGAATTAGCAGGAATCATGTCTGTTTGTAATTGACTAAATTTGTTTGATTAGCTTGTATAGAAAGGGAGGGGGTATGTGTATTTAATGCGTATGACTTCAGCTTTGCTGGTGTATGTTTGTAATACCAAGTTTTTCTGACACACAGTGATGTCTGTTTCTTGGCAATGCTGTTCTACTTCCCAGACACACATCTTACCCGTTCCCCCTTCCCCTGCATTTCCCAAATCTTTATAAGCATCTAATATTCAAAAGTCTTCGAAGGATTATTAAATCAGATACATTTTAACAAATACAGTTTTACTTTTTCAATTTCTAATACGCATCCTAGAGAGGTTTCTGTTTTGCGATAAAGTTCAAGATAAATTTCAGGAGAGGAAAAAAATCACTGCCTAAATATTCACAGAACATCCAAAATTTACTCACTTTGGAGAGCCTCAGGTAACTGATAGTGGAGAACTCTGTACCCTTTGATGACAAAATATTGCTAAACCAGTAGATTTTAAGGCATACCTAATTACTGGATGAAACTGTGTTTTGGATTAATTTGTGCAGGAGTAGGTTACAGTACTTCTGATTCCTGTAGGAGTTATTTCATTTATCCAGCCACATCACTCTTGCATTGTTTGGACGTTGTGATCTGACAGGACCAATTCTGACAGTCATTAGTACAGGAGTCTTGAGCATGCCTTTTTAAACAAAAAAGTTGCAGTTTACTCTGCCACTGCCTTAAGAAATGGGTATATTCTGATTTGACTAAATAGAGGAAACTTCTTAAACTGTAGTTCAGCTTCCTTTATTCTTTTGAGCAAGGAAGGATAATGGTCCTTGCCTCAAAGAAGTTTTAGCCCACTCCTCAGTTGTAAACCCTCTCTTGTTCTCCATGCCCCAGCCTACAGCAGCTTTTCCCCATTTGACATTTCAGTGGAGAGACTTGCCTGTTAAAGGGGTTGCAAATAAAGATGTGCTTGTTTCTCTGTCCTAATAAAAAAGGTAGTTTTTTTAGTTGCACTCTTACAACTGTTTTGCTTAGAGAGCTTCAGCTTTCCAGCACAGTCACAGAATAGAATCTTTAGAGCAGATCCTTGGCTCTGGAGTCTGTTCTCATCTGTGTTGCCTTTTGCAGTGGTGGAGAAAAACTAGCCCTTCCTTGGTGCTCAGACCTGACCTAATGGGTGGGTTAGACTAGCAACATTGTAGAAAAGGACAAACATTGAGTCTCTCAGAAAATCCACAAATTAGTAAGGGAATTATGAACCCACAGAACCTTTGTAGTAGTAGTACTTCAGGAGTTTCAGCATGCTCTGCTTTGCCACTGGTGGTTCCTTGACAGCACTCTATTCCAATGGGGCAAACTTTTATTTTGTGATGATTGTTTGTGAAGGGACTGCAGTGTCTCATGGCAGATTCTGAAAGGCAAACAGTTCTTGACATTTTGGTGTCCTACTTCAGCTTTCCTAGCTACCTCAGACTCCTGTGCCAGGCATCTCAGTGGACCTGTATTTTCACTCAGGCTAATGTGCAGCTAGAAATGCTTTCTCGCCTTCACCTAACTAAATTATCACAAGAGTTAAAGGGTCCACTGTCCAATAAAGTTAAGTAACTAATCATGAGTAATCAGTGGGGAAAAAACAGGTATTTTTTTCTTTAGTTTGAGGATGTTCTCTCTCTAAACATCTTTAATCATCAGCATAAGGAAGGAGTGAAGGGAACAGATTTAGGATAGGATTTGTCACCTGCAACTCCTGGTGTTGTCTTACTCCAAAAATAGATAAGCCAGCTGTAACTTAAAAATCTCTTGAAACAGAGGTTGAGTTTCTGGATTACAAGTTTCAAAAAGAAGAGACTCGGTGAAATATGTTTTCAGTTCCATCTTTGTTCCAGTTTTTATTCTTTTTATATGCTTTTTTTTTGACTTGAGAAGAATGTTCTGGTCATTCTGCTCAAAACTTAAACATCCAAAAGAGATTCTTGGAATAAGTTAGATGTTTACAAAAATTTTCTAAAAATTCAACAAGAAAGAACTCGGGTGTACAGAGGAGTGGCTTTGGTCTATAGTAGGAACAATGAAAACCCAGAAGTATGTAATGCATGAGCTTTAACACAGTTGAGGTAGGCAGCTAAACAAGCTTGCTGAGGAACAGAATCTTAGAGTGAAAATCAGAAAACTGTCCAAAAGGATTCAGTGCTTGTGCCTTTAGATTGAATGTTAGAGTAGTCTACCACTCTCTTCTTTTCATACAAACTTCCATTCTCTGCATTCTGATTTTCTGTTGTGTGTCTTACAAATCACCCTCATGCCCATAGCCTCACCTGACTAGAGTATCCCTATTGCCTCTTCTTCCACTAAATACCTTTGTATGTAGTCTCAAGAAAAGCTGGTGTAGCCCTTGCCAGGTGTAACACTCACAGCACTTAAGTTTTGTTTCTGATTAATTCCCTATACCTCTTTATGACTGCCCTAGCTTCTTTTGTCATTAGCAGTTTAAAATACCAGATGCCACCCTCCCCACCATGAAACATTGCTTGCACACACAGAGATAACTCATTAGAATTTCTCCCCAAAACCTCACCTGTGGCTTTGCACCAAACCAGGAATTGCTTATGATGCTTTCATTGCTTCCTCACCTGTGTTTTTTAAGGAATAGTTTTCAGGGGCATTCTGTTTTTTTTTCTAAATTAAAATTTCACTGTATGAATGCTGAAACAAAAAGTTCTCATCAGTTCTGTTCTCCCAGTGGCCAGACTCAGTATGCCTATCCACCTATTAAGCACAATGTAAAAAGAAATGTAATGCAAAAATAGAGCACAGTCATTAATCATGGGAGAGAAGGAACGTTAGTGCTAGTTTAACTGGGATTGGTCACTGCTTCACAGTCAAAAAGCTTATTTTTGTACCTTAGATTTTTCACAAAGGTATCAGGTTCCCTGGCGGTGCTTGAAAATTCCTCTCTTGCCTTTTCAAGAAGTGATACTTCAGGCAATCAGGGCAGAAACAGAGGGCTTGGTATCAGAGGAAGTTTCTTTAATATCAAAGTTTATTTTTCTATGTTGTAAGGAAGCAGACCATGGGAAATATGGCTAATAAATTGAAACAGCTCAGTAAGAAGACACTGTCAGTGGGTGAAAAACATTGTACGTTCACTTTACAGAGCCCCCTATGGAAAGGCTGTGGATATGTGGTCTGTAGGCTGTATCCTGGGAGAGCTGAGTGACGGACAGCCCTTGTTTCCTGGCGAGAGTGAGATTGACCAGCTCTTTACCATTCAGAAGGTGCTAGGCCCACTGCCAGCTGAGCAGATGAAGCTCTTCTATAGCAACCCACGCTTCCATGGCCTGCGGGTAAGAGAAAGCTTTGTTCTTTTCTTTTAATTTACTCACACAGTATTGACAGTATTGTTATTGTTGCTGTGAAGTTTCTTTTCATTTATGTTGTGCATTATCTATTGTATGTGTTTCTGTGTAAGTATAGGATCTTTAGATTTGACATTGTTGGCGTTTGAACTCGGATGTGGCAAATGGCCATGTGGCCAGTTGTTTCCTTCCCTCCGTCCCCCCGGTGAAATAGGGGAGGGACAGAAAATAAAATATTGTCGGTTAGATAACAAAAATTTATTTAGCAAAAGAACAACAGTAATGATAGTAGTCCAAAATGGGCAAAATGCAGTAGTGGCTCACTGAATGGTGACCAGTACAGAGCTAGTCCTCAGCAGCAATCTGTACCCACCAGAGTAGCCCACCCAGCCCATCTGAACATCAAAAACCAAACGAACAAGGCCTGTGAAAGAGCACGTGCCCACCTGTATGCTGATCTCTGACATCACATGACATGGAATGCTCCAGTGATCAATCAGGATCCAGCCCTCCAGCTGTGCTCCCTCCTGGCCCATGGAAAGTTAACTCTATACTGGCCAAAACCAAGACAGTCATTCATAATTCAAAGTAAAATTCTGACACACCAGTAATGAGTTTTATAAATATGTTTGGTTTGCTGTTAAAAGCTTTTCCTACTGACAGCATTGTTCCTCTTTGAGGGATTTGCCAGTACCATGTAATGAGAGACACTCATGAATATGGAGAAGCTGCTCAAGTTAGGATGAACTGTATGGCAAAATCCCGATAGATAAGGAATAGCTCTGTTATCTTTAGCAATACCTACCTACGCAGTGATTATAGTCATGTTTCTGTGTAATTCAGTTTTGGTCATCATTTTTTATTAATGAATGTTGCTTGGAAAGGTGAATTTACGATCTTGATAAATGGTCTAAAATCATTAGTGTAAAATGTCATAGAGACATACAAAGATATTAGGAGACCTGATCTGTGCTGAAGACTGGAAATTTGAGTTTTACTCTGTAGAAGAGAAAACTTGGAGAATGAGAAAGGAAAAGAGGGAGAACCTAGTTGTGTTAAAACATGTTTAAAATTGCCATAAATTTGATTTAGCTGCTGCTGATAAGAAAATAAATAATTGGCTTAAGGTGTTAGGATAATTAGTTTAACTACAAGGATGCCTAATTCCTAAGAGTTTTGTTGGAAGTTTGTCGACCCTCCATCAGTGAAGGGTTTAAAAAGGCAATTAGATAAGGTTCTATTTGTATTTGGTCCTGTGTAGAACAGTGGGCTGCATGGGATTTTCTGTTTTAAGAAATGTATAGCCCCTTACCAGGAAAGCAGTGCTTTAGAAGTTGTAAGCAAAATGAATTACTGCCTGTTCAACAGTATTTTATAACAGTTCTAGTTGTGCAGTGTAATCTTCTTTGAATAAATGCTCTGTAATGTCTTAGGATGAGAATGAAATATCTTTGGTTTGTAGCTTTAAAATACAGTAATTCAAGAAGACAGCATGGACCTAATGTGATTAGCACAGAGTTGAAAGTTATGAGTCTCTGTTCTCATGCTGGATCAAGGTTTATCAGACATGTTGCTGCCTTCTTGGCCCCATCTGTGAAGTCAGGATACTAATGTTGACAACAGTGACGTATGCCTTCTAATACAGAGTTGGTTTTGAATGCTGAAGTAAATCTGAATAATGGCTTAAACATGAAAAATACTACAAAAAATACTGGTCAGAATGTGGTATTCTTTACTTAATTCATGGCAAAAATTTATTGCATGCTATAAGACAACCTGAAAAGTACATTTTTCTGAATGTAGCGTAGTGCTTAATGGTGGAAGATTTTCTGTTGCATAACAGATAGAAGGTTTGCTGTGATCATGCAAATTATTATTTACAAGCTGGATCTGTCACTGGATATTCATAAGATAGAAACTAGCCCATGATGTGGAATTGTTTATCCATATGTTTAGTCTTTGTGAATTTCTGTATTACTGTAACTGTGAGTACTACAATATTGTATCACAGGATTTTAAAAATTCTAATATGAACACTCCACCAACACATGCACATGTATACGGATGCGTATTTGTGAACTTTGTCTTTTCTTCCTGCTTATTTCCTCCATGCATATATATTTATATATACACACAGTTTTACTCACTCTTGAGGTTTAGGGAGTATTTAGTGATCTCTTCTTAGTCCTTTTGAGGAAGAAAACATCCATGGTATGTTGGAGGCCCAAAGAAATAAAATCATATGAAATCAGAAAGTACCAATAGGCTAATGCCTTTATAGAAAGTGTGAGTGGTAGCATAGGGCTGTAAATATTGTTCTACAAATAAATTATAAGGTGAATCCAAACAATCCGAACAATTCCAGTGAGTAGCCCTGCTTTGCATAGCTTCGGCACATTTTCATGTTTCCCTGATCCTTCCAGATGTAAAATATTCTTTATGATGGTCATTCTACATAAAGACAGTAATACTTTGTCATTTGGTTCATGTAAAATGTGGAGGAAGCATGGATGCCTTGGTTCACCTAAGTTACTATTTAAAATCAACACAGCAGACTCGGACTTACAAAAATTCTCAGTCATTAGTAAACCACTTCAAAAGAAAGTAAAGTAAAAATAAAAATACAGAGACTGTTTAGGAGTAAAACACATTCAAAATAAAGTCCTTTCATTTTCCTTCAAAACTTACATAATGTAATTTATGAAAAGTAATGCCAGTACAAACAATGGGCAGCAGTTCATAATGATCTAATGCTGATGCACGTACAGTGCACGTGCAGTGCATTTTGCTTCCAAATGACATGTATTTTTGGAAATGAGTGTTTGTACTAGGCTGCTGTTTAAAGATTAGGTTTGAAGCTAGTATTTAATCTGAGGAGAGTGAATCCCTAGATGTAGGTGAGAGCTGAAAAATGCACAAGTGAAGGTAAAGTCTTCCATTTTAGACTTCCATTTTAGATCGAACATACAGCTCTCAAATGTTTTTATACTATATGTTTTACTATACTATAGCGAACTTCCACATAAAATGTTTGTTTATGTTTGTTGGGTTTTTTTGGTTGCTATTGTCTGTCTTAATCACTAACTTGAATGTTATTCTTTTCTTGTATTTTCAGTGATTTTTAACTGTAACTCAGTATTTTCTGTGGGTATATTTTACGTATGACTTGAGCCCATTTGGGCATACATTGATGGCTTTTATGTACCAGTAGATGAGAACACTGCACATGCTTCCTATTGTCAGTGCTCTTGCTTTGCTGTGTTAGCTTAAGAGGACTTCTTGGAAAATACATAGGGTGTAGATGGGATCAAGCCAGGCTGCACTTGAAACACTTGCATAGTATTAGGCAAATTCCACAATTCTGGGAACTGCTAACAAAATGTCTGGATCTCAGTTGTGTAGTTTTGGATAAACTGTGATTAATGCCAGTAGACTAACTGATTGTTGTTTTGGTTTTGTTTATGTTTTCCAGAGGCTTCTCTGGTATTCAAATGTGTAATTTTCTCTAAAATCAGCATAAGTTGGATCCATGATGGTTTTTATGCCTCTGTTGAAAATCCAGCCTTAATTACTAATTCTGAAAACCCTGGCATATATGTTTAGTTTTTAAATTTGAAGTTACCTCACTGAAATCCATTTATCTATTAGTTTGCAATCAGTTTAACAAATGCCACCATCTGGAAATGAATCTTTGTTTCTTTTCAACTCATTGTACTTGACGTTATGTTATAGCAATCAAATATTGAGAAACTTTTCTTTCATTTGATATAAAGAAAAGGTTCTGTCTTCAATTTATTTGACTCTTGCCTTGTTTACAAAACAAGTAAAAAAAAAAAAACAATTCTGTGCTTTATTTTTTCTTTCTTCTGCCTGTCCTCCTCTTCTTTCTAGACAGGGCTAGTTTCAAATACTGCCTTCATGGGGTTTTGTCCAGACTCTAGTTGACAGAAGATGCCCACCAGCAGTGTGCCCTACGTCTCATGGTGTTGGCAGTTCTTACTGCAGCATGACCACAGGAGTAATCCTGAAACTTAAACCTAAAAAAACCATTTTTTGGTTTTAAACTTAAAAAACGTTTTTGATGTTTTTCACTAAAAACATTTTGGAATTTTCAGTTAATCTTTGATGTTTGATTAGTTACTATATTTACACTCTCAAATTCTCTCAAAGCTATTTTTAATCTTTTTTTTAAAATAAACATTACTTATTTCTGAATTTATTTTAAACCTCCCACCTCTTGTCAATCATAATGCCACAAACACATTTATAAATCTAAGTTGATTATTTCTCATTTGAGAGAGGTTTCTTAACTACCCTGCTAATGAATAATACTTTATTTGGTTGACTAAATGCATAACATACATTAACAGTGATTTGTTTCATTATAATGTTTTGTTATGTTTCATAAACTGTTTTTTCAGTGCATATGATTCCCGTTAATTACATGCTTTGAGTCACTGTGTAGCTTCTATTTTTTAAAAAATTGTATTCATATATACCTTGTTTACATTCTCAGTATATTTATGCTATATTATTTTTACAGTTTCCAGCAGTCAATCATCCACAGTCTTTAGAGAGAAGATACTTGGGAATTTTAAGTGGTGTATTGCTTGATCTTATGAAGGTAGGAAAATGTATTTTATTTTCTGTCTGTAATATGTAGGGAAAGATCTAAGTGACTTTTTATCTTTGTTTGATAATATAATACACCTTAAAAGTACTTGTGAACTTCCGTTTGAGATATTTTGATATCATTATTGTTTGTAGCAAGGCTTGTTATTTCCTGGGTATCAGGAAAGTGCCCTTTGCAAATGCCAGGAGAGTCTGTTCGAATTTGACTGATTTGATAAACAATACATAGTTCAGACAGAAGAATCTCCATCATTTGCAGCAATAGGCATTCACACTGATGTGTGTTCAGATGCACGGGTTACCTAGTAATGCTGGCGTATGATCTCTCAACCCATAATAAATTTAGATAAATACACGGAGTATTAGGCTAACCTGAGTTGTTGTTCATTTGTGGTTGGATAAGCATGAGTATGTGCACAGTTGTCAAAGACAAAGTTGATGCACAATATTTATGTATTTTTTTACCTGAGCCCTTTATCTGCTTGCTATCACTCACTGTATGTATGTTAAGTTACTCTTCAGTCCTGTTTTGGAGCAAGTTAGCTAGTGACACATGGCCAAACTAGAATATGGTACTCAAGATAGTTTCTTACAGGGGATAAGAAGAAGCTGGCCCCCCTCAAAATGGCCAAACATTTTAAAGCATTGTGCTATGAATTTGTGCCATATTCCTGAGTATGCAACACATATTATTGTCCTTCTTACTGTACTATAAAAACATCACCATGGTAAGCTACAGTAGAACCCTCCCATTATTTCATCCACAGTAAGCTGGAAAAAAGAAAAAGCCAGTGTCAAAACTTAGGTTTAGCATCACAGGGGTACCACCTACAAATTAAAGGCAATCTGGAACAAATATGAAGCATGGATATGGCTAATCAACTCTAAATGATTTGTGTGGTCCCAAGCCCATCTGCGTTAGTTGTCTCAGAAACCAGAGGTCATCTGCTTTGGGGTATACTTGGGTGTTTACTTGCTTTTAGTAGTATTGATGTAGCCAGCATAAATCCACCAAACTGATTGTACTCTTCAGCACAACACAGCCAGTTCAAGTAACTTTCATTTAATCTCCCCACCTTATGAAGAGAGTCAGCATTAACTTTTATCTTGGTTTCATGGAGTCTGCAAAGTTAGGTACCTCGATGCATGTAATTGCTTGTTTTGGTATTAGACATTCTCCTCTCTTTTCTAATTCATGGATACTTCTTTCTGGCATCATAGTTAACTGTAGTTCAAGCTGTAGTAGCATATATTGCAGAACAGCAACTTCAAGATCATTGTTCAGACCATTGTTACACCTGCTGGGGCAGGGTTTATTTTCATTTTATCCTAATTTTTATGTTATATCTCAATGCTTTTGGTTCTTTTAGTGTGATTTAAAAGTTAACAAAGTTGTGAAATTAAGCACTTGAATTTTAAGGAAACAGGTTTCCCAGTAATTCCATTCCACTTTAATTCTTTTAAACTTTTCTGCCTGTATTTCTCAAAGATGAGAAAGGTCAGGGATTCTGTAGAGGGGACATTTTGTGTTTGACCTACATTACTTAATTCTGGAGTTGAAACATTGTTAAAGAGTGAGCAAAAGACTACAAGAAGAGAACAGAAGAGACTTGTGGTTAATTTGCATGCTACAAATTCTGCACATTCTTTGCTGTATGCCTCTCTCCACACTGGACAGTCTGGCACATGTCCACACTTGGTGTGTTCCTCATTATCTGCATTCCCCGGGACCTCAGGTCTGATTACTAGATTACTGAATAACCCACACTTCAATTTATGCCAGCTAAAGTAGTGAGTTATTGATACCTCTATTCAGAGAGCGGTTCTGGACTAGATAATGAAGAGGCAGCTTTTTGGCCCTGTTGCTTTGTTGCTTCTCTCCTTCACAAATCATGGTGTTTTGTAAGCTTGCATTTGGGAGTTGGGAGCTGGTTTTGCATGTGATGACTTGGGCAAAAAAGACGTTGAATGTTACAGTCTTTTTCATGTCATCTGTCATTCAGTTGTCTCCCACATTCAGTAGCAGACATGCATCTTCTCTGAGCTTCCATTTACTTGTAGAATACTTGTAGAACCCCTTCTTTTTACCCTTGATGTTTTTCACTTGCCTTAGGTCCAGCTGGACTTTGATCTTCCCAAGTGGCCTATGCTTTGTGCTACCGCAGTGCTTTTTTGGTCCTTCTTTGTATCCTGTCTTGCTTCTACTTCTTATACACTCACATTTTGCAATTTTGTCCATTAAGAAACTCCCTATTTAGCCAGCCTGATCTTATGCAAAAATTTGTGGTCTTCTCTACAATGAGATGCTTTTTTCCTCTCAAGAGGAAAAACTCAAGAACTCTCAAGAAATTTTCTTTAAAAATCAAGTGTCTCACCTGGACAACTTTCCTCTGGTGGCAGTTTTTTCAGGAGTTTCTGTCCAGTTATTCCCTATAGAAGCTGAAGTTTGCTCTTTGAAGTCCTGGGTCCTATTCCTGATGCTTATCTTCCCACCCTTTGAATCCTAACTGTAATCATTTTACGGGCACTACAGCTTAGACTGTCTTCTCTTATCAGATTCATCACCAGTACTTTACTGTTGGTGAGCAGCAGGTCAAGTAGAGAGAAGTCATACCCTCGGCTGATTTACTTTCCAGCAGCTGCGCTACAAAATTGCCACTAACATAGTCGAGAAATCTCCTGGATCATCTATACAGGCTGGATGTCTGGGTAGTTGAAGTCTGCCATGGGGATGAGGACCTGTGATCAGGAGACTTCTGCTTGTTGTTGTAGAGAGTTGTCCTCTTCATCTTCTTCATGCTCTTCAATGCATGGTTTATAGCAAACTCCCACCATAACATCACAAATGTTGCTTTCCCTTCTGATCCTGATCCAGAGACTGTCAGTGAATACACCTTCTGTTTCATGCTGACATTTGATACCATTCAGGAACTCAGTTATATGGAGTGCCACTCTTCTTCCACCCCCTCCTTCCTTCTGAAGCCAGCTGTACCCGCCAGTGACCATGCCTCAGCCATGAGCCCTGTCCCACTACTTCTCTGTGATTCCAGGCAGGTTCACAGCCTTGTGATTCCCTATGGACTTTCAGTTCACCTTGTTTGTGGTACAGGCTCTGCAAGTTAGTGAGTGTATAGGCATTTGAGGGAAGCCTTTGGACATACTTTTTTCTAAGGAGGAATGATGGAAATCACATGTGGGCTATTTGTGTTGTTTGGCTATTTGAGCCACTGTAGTGGTGAGCACCAGAAAAAAGGGGGAAATAAAAGGTTAAATCATTCAGTACATAGTTTGTCACTTGAGAAAGGAAGATACTGTATCACCAAACTACATAGGAATGCAGTTTGCCACTTGCTTGTTTCCCAAGCATTTTCCATTTTGAAGTGAAGGGATTCTGTGAAGGGAAAAGCTAGTTTGTGATCAAGTGGCTGAATACTATGTTAATGCATGTACAGATATGCCTTGTGTGTGTGTATACACGTACATATATCTGCATAGAATTGTTCTCTGTTCAACTGATGTGAACCTTAAAAAACAGCTATTCTTTTAGCCATTCTTTTATAACCATTCAATCCTGGCTGACAGCCGTGCATGTTCAAATGTTCCAAGATATTCTTGTATTGCCCTGTTCCTGCAAGAAACCTTTCAAGCTTATCAAAATACCCAACCTACTGGTTTTCAGTTTTGTGATTAAATATTTTCTACATGTCAGAAAGTGTTTAAAATCACAGCAGATCTAACAGAATTATAAGGCAAATGTTACGTTGAGTGTGCTGTAAACAGTTTAGATGATTCTTTAAAAATATGGATGGACTTGAACCCTATAAGTAAAAATCAGAACTCTTATATTTGTATATTTTTAAAAATGCTAACTTTAAGAGACTATTTTTGTTTGTATAAGAATGTACCCTTATGCTGGTTCTGTTTGTTTGTAAAGCCTGTTTCGTTGTAGCATTTTATTACTGGTAAATTTTATATTTTTAATTCTAAACAGCATCTTGTAAGGTATATCCTGAAAAATGTGTTTAAAATACATATATTTTAAACATCTATAGGTATATACATAAAACATATTTTTTAATTTTCCGATTTTTTTTATTTTAAACATTTTCAGCACACATATGTATGTATGTGTATATATATTAATTATATACATATAGCACATATGTTTCATAGCAAGCAAGGCTGAGGCCTTCCCTCTCTTAAGTAGAACATAGGTTTTGTAATTGTTTATCTTCTATCATACGTAGTTTAATGGAACATGAAATTATTCTAGCAGTTACATCTAATCACAGAAAATCTGGACATTAAAATACACCAAACCAATAATGTTCTTTATTTTGTTACATTTTTTGCTGATGCAAATAGAGATACTAACATTTACACTTTTGGATTTGTTTTCCAAAGAACCTACTGAAGTTAGATCCAGCAGATAGGTATTTGACAGAACAATGTTTGAACCATCCTTCGTTTCAAACCCAAAGACTCTTGGATCGCTGTGGAAGCTCACCTTCACGGTCAGCTAAGAGAAAACCTTACCACGTAGACAGCAACACATTGTCTAACAGGTAAACGTAGTCATATCATCATCACTGACATTTGCTCTGCCAATGAGTGTTGCTATCATGCTTACATACATCATCTACAAGAAAAAAAAAAGTTGTTGTTTGGCAGTTTAGGCACATTGAGACATATATACTGTTCCATGTTGCCTCACTCAATAAAGGAAGTAGACACAGTTATACTGTATTCTAACTATTCAGACCAAAATTTTTGATAACTTGCTGCATCAGGCTGAATGTTTCTTGAAAAAAGCCAAATACAATATTCAGACTGTTTCTGTGTTATGATAAAGGAAAAATAAGTTGGCTTACCTGTCTTTAAAAAGTTAGCCTTTTCCTTGAACAGCAGTAGGAATTTTATGGCTTTGAGGACATCTCAGATTCCAAAGGAATGCTCATTTCTTTGGAATGCTGCCATTACTGTATATGTGCAAATCTGTCAAGGTTTTGGTATTTGAAAGTTCAAAATTCACAGAGATTTTTAGCAGCTAAACATCCTGAAAATCACATGCATTGATCATGCTCCAAAGTGAGGACAAACAGAATTTTGTCTGCAGTTGCAGTTATGAATCAGTCTAGTCTACTTGAACTTAAAGCAGGATGTATTTGCTCAGTGACTCCCTTGTTGGACAAACATAGCTTGAGAGAAGCCACTTGATTTTAATACATCAACAAACCAGGTAAACCAGGTTTACGTGTGGATAAAATACTTCACCACAAAAAGCCTCATGGTACTCATCTGACAAAAGCTTTCCTAAAGGTCACCCCCTGAAGTATGCAGAGTGATAGTGGCTTTTAATCCTAGCCATGTTTTTCTTTAGCTCTCCTGTGAGATTCAAAAAATTACTCCCCATTTTAAGATTTGGGATGATGACATTTACAATCTATACTTTTTCAGAGATAGAAACCAAAACGTTTTAGCTGCCCTTATAGATATTTAGGATAGAAGTTTTACCATTAGAGGTGTGGCATCAGAAAGGAAAACCTAGATCCATGGGAAGCTTCTTGTCAAAAAGGCTTGCCTAGCCACTTGATTTATAATTACTAGGTACCTTATGTCTCTAAGTTTTAAAAAGGTATACTGCCTTTTAACTAAAAGATATTTAAAACTGTCATTAAAATTGCTAAATTTCTAGAAACTGTAATAGAGTACATAATTAGATCACTGAAAATGGGTAATACAAAAATGCTAGGTATAAAAATGGCTAGTATTATCCAATCATAATTATCAGCAAGCACAACAAGGTATGAACTCATCTGTACAGTGAGCTCTCACTTTAACCCTCAGTGAGTTACATTATCATAGATTTGATACAAAAACAAGTTAAGTGCTCATAGCTGCCTAGGTCTGTCAAAGCTGACGAGTACAGCTGCAGCACTGCTCAGTCATGGCTCGTTTGTAATGCCAGCATAAGCCCAGAAGCAGAACTGGTTTTATGCCAGAAAGCCCGCTCATATAAATTCAGGCAGAGTGTTTGCAGAACCAACTCCTTTCTCAGTCCCGTATTCCAGGAGATTTGGAAAGGGGAGTAGAGGTTAAGGACATTACCAAGTAGCTCTGCATCAAGTTGTTCTGGTTGCAGAGCATTTTGGGGGGAGGTTTGAGACTGAGTTAGTGTGCCGAGAACTGCGATAGTGCCAAGATGTACAAAAGCAAGGGTTCCTGTTGTAGAGCTGGTTTTGGGTTTGGTGTTACAGGGCTTGCTGTGAGCTCAAGGTTCACTCCATATGGATGTCTTTATCAGCACCATAACCTCTTTTCCCCCTTCCTCTCCTCTACCTTCCCCCTCCAAATTAGACATACATTAGATGGCCTGGAGCATTGATTGTATCAGGTTTTTTTGACAGTACTGACATACCTTATTGTTCTACCTTCACTTTGATATGCCAGGTGTATTTAAGATCTTTTTCCACAGATATACAGCTAATTTTCCTAATGTAGTGCTTACATTATTGATGTGCATATATATTAATCACACACATGCGTAAATGTGTAAATATATGTTGGCATTTCTATGATTGGATTTTATATCTTCCTTTTTTTAGTCAGCAAAAATCTGTTAACCAAAGCTGAGTTTGTCTATCAGGATATAACCATAAAGAAACAACAATGCGCTAACACCTTCAAATCTGTTATTTTAGTGGAACTTCTTTCTCATGTTGGCAGTATTTGACCTTACTTCAGTTAAATTTTGTGGTTTTAAATGGCACCTCCTTACTGAAATGAGTGTACTTTTGTTAAAGTTATTAATACATGACTATGTAATCTGGTATATTAATGCTTCTTTATGCATTTTAATGTAGAAATCAAGCCAGCAAAAGTTCTGCTTTGCAGTCACACCACAGATCAAACAGCAAGGATATACAGACGCTAGGGGTTGGCGGGCCAAGAGAAGAGGGTCTTCCAGCAAATGAAAGCTTTTTGAATGGAAACCTTCCTGGAGCTGCACACAGTCCAATGCATGCAAAAAAATCAAGCAACACACCTGGATCTGGCAACAAGGATCTAGCCAATAATAACATGCCACATCTTCTCAGCCCAAAGGAAACAAAGGCAAAAACAGAATTTGATTTTAACGTGGACCCAAAAAGTTCTGATGGTTCAGGCACAAAGTACCTGAAGTCTAACACCAGATCTCAGCAGAACCGGCACTCATTTATGGAAACTTCTCAAAGCAAAACTGGGACACTGCAACCTGGCGATAAGCACAGTCGCCACAGCTATATTGATACTATCCCCCAGTCTTCAAAAAGTCCTTCATATCGGACAAAGTCAAAGAGCCATGGGGTTCTGACAGACTCGAAATCCGTGGGCAACCTTTCTGAGGCCAGGGCCCAAGCTGCAGAACCAAACAGCAGTAGGTATTTTCCATCCAGCTGTATGGACTTGAACTCTCCTACCAGTCCAACTGCTCCTCGACACAGTGATAACAGAACTTTGCTGAGTCCATCCGGGAGGAATAACCGCAGCGAGGGTACTCTGGACACCCGAAGACCATCAACAAGACACTCCAAAACAATGGAGGAGTTAAAACTGCCAGATCACATGGATGGAAGCCATTCCCACTCTCTCTCTGCTCCACATGAATCTTTTTCCTATGGTCTAGGTTATACCAGTCCTTTTTCTTCACAGCAGCGCCCTCATAGACACTCTATGTATGTGAGCCGGGACAGAGTGAGGTCAAAGGGCTCAGAGGGTGGCTTAAACATAGGGCAAGGGATGGCAGCCAGAGCAAACAGCCTGCAACTGTTATCTCCACAGGTGCAGCATAAGTCACTCACAAGATCTGTTGGCTCCTCACGAGAAGACTGTACGGAAGATACTAATAGGGTTAGTTCAAAATATTGCTTGTTATGGAGGGCTTACCTTCTGTTCTTTACTCCATGTGGGGACAGTGTCCTGCTTTCTCTGTTCTGTTTGTTTACAGTTATTTATTTATTTATTTGTCTTGTTATAGGCAAGGGATGTTGGAGGTTTTTTTCAGAAGGGCTAAATATTTCAAGTGCAAAATGAGAGGCTATTTTAAAAAATGGACTGTGACTACCATTCTCTTAAAGTGCTGGAATGTGAGAACAGAAAAACTTGTCTCTGAAGTTAAAATTTCGTTAGTGGTTCCTGGTCTTTGGTTACACTTGCTGATGTCATTTTTGTCATATTGGTTTGCTTAATTAACATTCTCATTTGTGCTTTTATTTAGCTTTTCTTGTATGTATTTCTGTTACAGCTGCTAATGTTAATTTTTGAATTGTGAGCTAGCAGGACATTGTTGCTGAAATGCTGTAATTTACTATAAGAATATCAAAATTTGCAATATTTCTCTTGATTACTATGATAAATATCTGGGGTAGTCTAGAGATTTAATATTGGAGAAGCCACTCGTAAATTGACTCCTTACAGTGATTACCGTCACTAGATACCTTGTTGTGGTTTACTGTGAACATTATTTAATGAGGAAGGGCTAGTTTGGTGTTGATTTACATTCCTTACAGAACAGTTCTGAATTATCCGATGTTTTACACATCAGATGCGTAAAGATGACTGTATTTGTTCCCAAATCTTTAAACTGCTATACCATTGATCCACACTGAGGAAAATGGTGCAGAAAGACATACAAAAATGAGTGTTTGTTTCTCTACACATACATCTGTGATAAAGTGACTTCTAAGGAGAGAACATCTAGTTCAGATTTGTTGACAAATTGAAGGAAGTCCAAGAGCTGCAAATATTAAGGCCTAAAAATGATGCTGTACTGTGAGAGACTAAAAAACTCTGCCTACTTAGTATATGTAAGAAATATGTGTAGCTGATTTGAGAGTGGTATTTAAGTACCATAAAAAAGAGGTTTTAGGTAGTGGTTGACTCTTCAATCCAGTAGAGAAAAAAAGACATGTTTTTTCATACCTACCACATTTACTTCATTCAGGGTTATGTGTATTCACACATGAGAAAAGATCTCATCAAAATAGGAGAAATACAACGTAATTTTTTTTTAAGCTACTTAGAAGGGATTACAGCACCTCCATTTCAAAATCGTGGGGATTTTTTTCTTTGTGTAGTCATTTTTCTCTCATTTCAGTCAAGTTAAATGTTACCTATTCTTAAGGTTGTTACTGTAGAAGGGCAATAACACCAACATTTGAGGTTTTGATAATAACAGCTCGTGCTACCTTGTATTTTTCAGTTCATTAGGATCTTTTTCTGCATTTTGTAGCAGATATTAATTTGATAAATAATTTTAAATTTTGTTTCATATTATGTAGAGGCAGATTGTTTTCATCATATCATTCTTTGACTTCGACAATTGGTTGTCAAATTTTTACTTTAATTAGAAAAATTGATGTATATTTTAATGCGTATGTTTTTGTTCATTTTCATTTGCTTTGGAATGCCTAATCATTTGTAAAGAACTTGCTTTTCTTTCTTATGGTCAGTGGTTTTAAAGCTAAGACTTCAATTTATGCTTTTAAATTTGTATTTTAACCATGAGAAATCTGAAAGGAAAAATACCCTTCTGAAATAGATGGCAGTTGAAGTAAATTCACAAAGCTGTTTTTGTTTGTTTATACTACTTTCAATAACAAATCTGCATTAAATTGTCAATCTTCTTATGCCTCATAAAGGCATTTTCACAAAAAATCATTCTTTGGCTCCTTCCTATCCCTTTTTTTTCTTTTTTTTTTTTTCCTTCTACATTCTGCATTAGAAATCAGAAAATTTCACTTCCTTCAGGATTATTGAATTAAAAGATCAGGAATAACCTAAGTGTTCTCAAAGATTCTTTGTTCTTTTTCTGTTATTTTTTTTTTTTCCCAGTCAGTTTGAACTGGTTCCCTCTCTCTGCTCATATTTTGTGACATTTCCTCATTTCCATGTTCCTAGTTTCTCACTGATTTTCTCTTTAGCTCTACCAAGTATTTTAAAGAAAAATATTATTTAAATCTTACTTAAAAAACAAACAAACAAACTTGCATTCAGTATTAGTTTTGGGGCTTTTGAAGTCTCAGTACAACTCTTTTGGTTTGAGGGTTCTTTTTAATTTTAAATTAAATGTACACCAATGGAGGCAAGCAGAAGAAAATCAAGTACAAGTTGCTGTTAACTGTCTCATATTTGTAACTTAACTGCTGGCAAAGAAAAAGTATCTTACACAAGTAGTAATTTAATCAAATGCTTTAGCCTCTTGTAAATTTTAGAAGAATCAAACCATGATGTAAAGCATTGTTTTAGCTGCACTTCTTGTCTTGGCACAGTTTCAAGGGTTGTTTTGTCTGTGACAGTGAGGTCAGATCTTCATTAATAAAATGCAAAATAGATTTTGCAAATCACCATATAGTGAATTGAAATCCCAGTTTTTAATTCTGGTTGGGATTTTTGTGATTCTGTTTTTTTAAACTTTGTCATTCTTGGACATTGTTGATTTAAATTCATATAGGGGTTTCAGTACAGTTTCCTGTGGGGTCTTGTAGAGAGCATTGAATTTTTCCAGTCAGTCCATACTGTGGGAAAAATTACAGCATCTGGTTCATTTAAGAGTGGAGTTAAGACATATTTGGTGACAAACTACATGCATATGGATGTTTCTAAGGGTTTACTTAAGCTTTTGCTTGAAGTACTTCCAGGAAGAACTGTATTCAGGAAAACAGAGTAAATCATATTCTTTTTGCTATCCTGTCTGACTTAACTATTTAGCTTATAGATTTCTTAGTTCAGGGACTATGTCTTTATTTTGCATACGGTACATTTTATGACTGTTGGTACCTCTAGGTACTACTGTATAACAGCTGGTAAGAAATAGTGCTTTGGTGTTGCAATTATCACCAATTATATGCATCTCCTGTTTGCTTTTTAAAACCTGCCAGTAGCAGAGTGACCAGATTCCATCAGAAATTAATTTAACATCGCCCCCAGTAAAAGATTCCTCCAGAGGTGTTACAACTGCATTTCATTCAGAGCAAAAATCTGAGGGTCTGACTCATGCTCAAGTCTATAAAATTAAAAATAAGAGGCAAAATTTTGTCAGTGCTATTTTTGTCATTTTGGAAAAAGAAAGCAAGCAGCAAAATGAAATAATTATTGATTACATAGTCTGGATTTGATCTTGGCAGTTATTAATAACATGAAAGGAAAATTGTGTAAGGTTAAGCTCAGGATTTCTTGTTTATGTATGTTGGTTTAAAACTGCAAACCTTTAATTTTAAATAATTGATTGTTCCTTTGTTTAGGGTGGAACATATCATGATCCACACACAGAAGATGGAGCATCTACTAAGGAAAATAGAATTCTGTATAATGACCCTGTTCCGAGAAGAGTTGGCAGCTTTTACAGAGGTAATTTTATGTTGGATCTTTCAAAATTAATGAAGAATTTTAACATGGAATATAAATTAAGTAGTAGAAATGGAGAACTAACATGAACAACTATAAAGGTGTATTGGAAAGAGAATTGTTGCCCCACTTTCAGAGACTGGGTTAACTTGCTAGATTGTATGCAGTAACTGTGCTAGTGTCGTATTATGTGCAGATGATAACTCACTTCGACTGAAAAGTATATCCAGTCTAGTACCTTGTAAAGCAGAAGATAATTTATCAGGGGGAGTTAGTATTGCCAGAATAAGCAGTTCATTAATGTTTTTAATTTGTATTTTAAATTCTTACTAACACTATATCTAAACACCTTTGTACTTGTAGCGTATTGACATACTATCTATTTCAGATACTGCGGAGCATGGAACTGTAATGCTAATTTTTCATTGCTTGAAACCTATGTTCATTTCTTTTGTTCAGACTTACTGAAGATCAGGGTGTCCTACAAGCAAAATCACATTTAGATAATCCCAGTTCAGAATAAATAATAGAACAGGACTGTGCATGTGTATATATATGTGCTTGTGTGTATATATATGTACACACAAATAGGTATTCTTCCATTATGGTACACAAAAGGTGGTGATTTTTGAGCAGCTGCCTCACATCTAAACCTGGGTAATCCTTTTGAAAAATACAAGGATGATGAGAAGCTAATTAGTGTTGTGCAAGTGTTAGGAGTCTTGTGTGTTTCCCCTGAACCTGAAGAAGCCCCAGTCAGCTAAAATTTGATTATGAGTCACCTAATAACCATAAGCAGAGTCACAAACCTCCTTCTGATCCTCTTCAGGTTGATCAGTTGGCTGATAACCTGATTCAGACATGTTAAAATCTGCCAATCCTTGCAAGTGTCCCATTGCAGTATTAAAATCTGTGAGCAGTATTAAAGCTTATACTGTTTTGAGCAGTGCTTTTGAGTGTAAGGTTTGTAGCACATGCAACAGAGAATCCTTAAGAATCCTCAATCCTGAATTGCTTATATTAATCCTTAAGACAATCCTAAAATTGGACATGGATTGTCCTTTTTTTATACATAGTAAAACAGAAGTTCAAGGAAGAATGACTTTCCATAAGACATGTGCTAAGGAAACTGTAGGTCTGGGGTTTACTTGATTCCTTGTTGTAAACTAGAGGTTTCTTCCTTTTCAGCTGTATCTGCGAAACAAATATATTTTAGTTCAGACTTCGTTGTTTCTTTGGAAAAATTATACTGTATTTAAATAAAACATTGATAATAGTATATGCATAAACTATTGAAAGAAAATATTACTATGAAAAAAGTAAATTCATATTTATGCAGTTCTTTAAGTACTGACTTAATTGAAAGGTTATTGGGATGTACTTTTGTACTATATCTTGAACAAAAACTTAAGAAATCCATAGAAATTCATAGATAGTATAGTGTGATGCTGCAGTAATGCTGCAGCTAGTGTCTGATCAATTTTTAATCCAGTGCAGGTATTTCTGGTGATACTCATAATTCTAATACATGTATGTTCTAGGTATGTATAACCTATTTTGAAACCCACGGTATGTCTGTTAGAAAAAAATATAATATCTGATTTTGATAGTTTCATTTTTAGTGATGAATGTCTTAATTATATTAAAATCCGAAGTAATTTTTTTCAGGGTGAGTACTACCTTTTTTAAGGTCTAAGTGAAGACAAAGTATAAACTGTAGTATTTTGTGTCTTTAATAACAGTATTCCAACCTTTTATTCTATTTCCTGTTTTTAAATATTGATTTCATTTGTGGCTCCCTACAGATAGAAATATTCTCAAAGCTAATAACATCTTAGCTAAATTCTGATGATGGTGTCACAACAGTCTCATTTTACAACTAATATTACCTTGCAAGTATCACAGGGCAACAACTTTCCGAACTGTAAAAGTACGGGGGTTTTTTCAGTCATGCATAAAGTACAACTGTGTCTTCACTCTTTTTTTCTGTAAAAGAGGTAAAGAGGAAGCAGACAACTGAAAGGTGGAATTTTTGGCAGTGCTCAATATCCATTGTTTGTTCTTTCTCTGTTCAGTTCCATCTCCTCGTCCAGAGAGTACATACATAGAAAACAATGTGTCAAACAGAACATCTGTGTTACCAGCAGACAGCAGCACGGTGGCAAACCACTCAAAGAGACAAACCACCTTTGATACCTGGTGAGTTGTTATTTACACAGATGTGTAGAGAATGGCAGGGAAAAAAAAGGGATTTTTAGCAGGAGGGGAAAAACCCCCACATTTTTCTCAAAATTTGCAACTGTCTATATGTGCTTAGTTGTTTCCTCTGACTATACTGACATAGCATTGCATGTTTTCTGTCCCCTTTTGGGCAACAAGAAATAATTCAGGACACCATCACACTGAATGCGTTAAAGATTATATATTTTTGTCCAGTATTCCTAATTTTTTCCACTATTAATCTTCCGTTAAAGATAATACAAAGTGCTTGTGAATATAGTATGGATAGCAATGCCATAGCTTCATCTGTGGATTCCAGAAGCATGAATTGTCAGACAAATGGAAAAAAAAAACCAAAATGCATGTTTCCATATATAAAATAGGACTGTATTAATGAAGAATATAATATTCACCCTACAATGGGGGCTGCTGCTCTTTTTGCTTACGCACCACAGAAGGAAATGAGTACGTTCTATGGGAAAAATGGACTGAGCAACATCTTAATGGTGTACGTTGGTTTTTAAATCTTAAAAGCATCACATGGCTCCATAATATATCATAGAACAATTAACTATAATTATTCTAATAGAATGACAGCATATGCATAGCTTTGCAAAGAGAAATATCTTAATTTTGTTGCTCTGAGTGCTGTTCAGTTCTAAAATATTCTTAATCTACTTTGTTCAATCACAATAAAGCACACTTGAATAAAAAATAAGCAAATGGAGCTTCAAAGGATTGGTGGGAGGAATGGACTGCATGCATTCGCATGGTTCAGCTGTGCTTCGCACCACTATCTGAAACACTGCTCTCTGAAAGTGGGATAAAATCACCCTATCTAAAGAACTGTTTCAGTGTTTTGTTGACTTAATGTGTTTTCACACAAACAACCTGTGAATTACCTGCTTGAAAAATAAAGGGGGTAGGGGGGAGTGGGGAAGGGAAGCAACTGGTATTTCAGCTTGTCTTCAGGTTATATACCCATGTCAGTAATAGAAGATGTTCACTCCAGAACCCTTGTCACCTGCTCTGATTCACTAGAGTCTGCTTCCTGTCCTTCAGTAGCTCCACCTACAGCCATTTTGTGGAAGTTAGCTGAGGAATCCGGTCATTTATGTAAAAAGGTGGTACTTAAGTTGTGACTTATGTGGCTGAAGAAGGTATTTATTCCTGCTGTTGAACCCTTTTACATATTTTGTTGTCCTTCATATATGAATCTTTCTATCTTGCATATAATATGAACCAACTGAAATCTTGTTTTGCTTTACATAGCATTCATTACCTTTTATTACGTGGTCACTGCAAAGAAACATGTAATGTCATTTTAACTCTGATCTGAAATAATAGCATATGTTACTAGAGCTGGTTGGGAATTTTTTGACTAAGTATTTTTTTTGCTTATGATGCCAAATTATCAAAACCAAAACTTTTCAAAGGAACAGACTGATACCTACTAACCTTTTATTGGGAAGATTCTTCAGCTCCGGGATGGAATTGCCAGTCAAAACCAGAGATACACTCAAAATAACAAATATCCTGGGGTCAGTATTATTTTTTGGAATGTGAGAAACTCAAGTGCAGCGCCTTTGTTCTTTGTTATTTAAACCAGAGGCTTGAACCAAGATCTTAGATCTAACAAGTGAATGCCCTGAACCAGAAGGTAGAAGTTGTTCTGGAGTACGTTCTCTGTTTCCCTCAATATGTTCTCTTGAAGCTGTTTCATCTTGTTGAAATAGTGAAAGGATCACAGAGATGATGAATATGGCCTATTGAGTAAGGCCCTTCATTAACTTTTGAGACAGTTAGATTTAAGTCCTTGCTCCAATTAATGTACTTAGATATTTTCACAAAGTGGAACAGCTCCTTTGAGAGAAGAACCCACTGAAGAACAAGCATTTCTTCTTACGAAATGGGAGGAATGGCAGTGCCCGCAACACCAAGTTACTGCTATTTTGGCATGCATTTCTCTTTCTCTTTGCTTTTCCTACTCCCTGTTTTCCTGAAATGTTTCCTGCCCAGCTCTACATGTTAACTCTGTGCAAGTTGTCCTGGCAGTGGTCTGATGTTGTTGCAAAATTGTTCTGTGCCATAAATGCAGCTTAATCAGATTCCTGAGTGATGTAGAGTCTATGTTCTTCTACTTGATTTTCTGTATAGAAGTTGTGTAAATGCTTATGAAAATCTTGAAAGCTCTAATGGAATGTGATTCTGCTTACATCAATTTTATGATGAAGTAAATATTTGATGTTTGACTGACACACGTAACAATTCATCTCAAATTATGAGTGACATGTATTCTGCCTGGACTTGCCACTACTGTAAAATATTGCTTCTCTCATACTATTGCTCTGTGTTGCCTTTCTTCTGTGAAAGATTTTGTGAATGTTTGCTAGACTGAATTGTCACAGATGTTCCCTTGTCTTTGTGTGCATTTCTTCACTCTGTCCCCACTGTCCTGCCACTTTAAAATAAAGATGTTATAAACTCAACTTTTGTCATCAGGTTTTACTCTTAAATTACTAGATCATTTATGAACTTTAGGCAACTTGATTTGAAAAAGGGCAAATTTTTCATTCTTCTAGAAAATCTTTTCTTTGCCAGAGTTTACTTTCCTGTAAATGACCGTGAACTTTTCCTTCTTGATACAGGAGTAAATGTTTTATTCTCTTTCACTTGCATGGACGTTGTCTTGAGCTGAGCAAGATCAGTAGGTATAGGCAAGATGTTTAACTTTGTTCTGCCAGTGTGCTAAAATGTTGGCTTGAGTTATCTTTACCGTTGTTAGAGTTCTAAATATCTCTTTGGAATAAAGTCCAACATGCAGTATGTTCTCTCAACATCATACTGGAAGTGTTTGCATTGATTGCTTGCAAGATAATTGGGAACTTCTGGAAAGCTTTATTGTTTTAGACTTTTTATGTCCATATAAATGTATTAATTATACACAAACAAGCTTGTCATACCTTCTCTACCATATGTCATACCTTCCTGCAAAAATAATAAATAGTAGAAATATCTATAATATTTACTATTATTTCTATATGCATATTATACGTATAAACGCAAACTCTGTCTTTGAGAAATGAACAAAAGAAGAACATCCTAGTCTTGGTGTCAAAGGCTTACAATTATCTATCTATCATTAATTTTCATGACTCCAAAATAACACAGTATTTTGTAACATGACATGACTGGCTATAATATCTCAGTTTTAGTATTAGTGTAACAATGTAGTCACACTTGATGTTCCTGAAGTGAGAAGGTTGCCAGTGTCTGAGCAAGCTGGTTTAAAGCTTGTTCAGCTGTGTCTGCAGTACAACTGTTGCTGTACTGTAAGTACTTCCCAGGTCATTTGCAGAATTCTTGAATTTGTAAAAAATAACAGGAAATTTCAAATTTGTAACTTGCAAGCTTAAAAATCACCTGTGTGAGTTACACTGGTTTAGGCTTTAGGAATCTGCTCTGCATAGTTTGAAGATAGCTTTCCTTATAGCTTTCCCTCTGACATTTCCCGCACAAGACTTTTGCACATGCATTGTCATCCAATGTTTGCTTTTATTCATCTGTTTGGCATCATCGTAGCCTCCCTAACAGTCCTTTCTAGTAACCAGTGCTTCTTCTGTGACCCTTCCCCTGTCATTAGTTTTGTTTTGTTTTTTACTAAAAATTAGATGATGCAGTCTAATATTATTTGCAAGGAAGCTTTCCAGAATTTGTAGTCATCAATATTCTGTCCAAAAAATAAGCCTAGGGAAGTATACACTTTGTAAGTTTACAAAATCAACCACTTCCAAATTTTTCTGGTTACTAATTGTAGAACCAGACCGGGGCAGGAGGGAAGGGGCGAGGGTGTGTAAACGGTATGTGTGTGTATATACATTTATATGTATACTTATTTTAGTGATGACATAACCTTAGGTGATCTAGGGGCTTTAGTGGCTTCTCTATGGTATTCTGTATGTAAGATAAGAGATCTGGGTTTTATTCCAGTTAATTAATCCTCCTTTCCATGTGGAAAAAAAAAATAAAAATTGCAGCTCCAAGCAAAGTTCAGATTTGATCTTTGATTTTTAAGCTTTCAACACCAGGCTTTTAGACCATGAAGTTATACTATGGGCTTCAGCTTGTGGGACTGAGATTCTTACCTTAAAGTAAACCATCTATTTGAGGTGTGTCATTAGTTTCGGTCATTTACTTGCCTTCATTTATGGTAACTCTATAACTGCCAAGGGTTTTACTTTAAACAAAACCAAAAGCTAACCTGGCGAATCAGTGTTTGTTCATTTGTCTTCTGAAGACAACTTCAGACATTTCAGTAACTACTCCATTGGATAAAAATCTTCCTTGTGTAATTGTGAGCGGTTCAGTAAAGGGAGTTGTGTACTGGCAGTTAAAGAGGATTTCCAAGACAGGCTGCCTGCTGAGATTAGGGTTGCTGAAGAAAGAATACCTGAAACAAGCATGAGGGATTGCCTCCCAAAAAGAGCTGTCTGCAATACAAATCTATCTATGGCAGCATGAATATAGCATGCTTCCTGTTTATTCTTTTTAGTTAATATTAAATCACATCAACTTGCTTGCCCCATGCATGTTTGTTGCTATACCTCATTGTACCTGCACAAAGTTGGATACCTTTCCTGCCAAGAGCAATAAATGCTAATCACAGAATTTCTGTTCATGCCTATGCCTCTTCCAAGCATCTCAGACCAGAATAACCGATGTGATCTACATTTATGTGTCCTAAGCATGCAAAAGGCACAGAAAGATAAAATAACAAAGAACAGCATGTTTTGCCTTTGGTTTCTGCTTGAGGGTGAGCTCTCTGTTTGGGGGTTCTTCTCTAGGGCTAGTCTTACTTGCTAGTAAGAGAGACCTGCATAACAGATTCTGGTGTAACTGTTTGCTTTCAAGAGCTGAAACTTTGTGAAAAATACCAAGATACTTGCAGTTATTTATTGTAAGAGTTTCATGTTAAGTGACTATGCCATACAGATTTTTTCTGATAATCCTAATTTTTTCCTGTACTGTCCATTGTCTGAAAATCATTTTTTGGGATGCCTAAAATATCCGTGTTTCATCTCATAGATCAAAATGTTCTGCTCTATTTTTACCCAGTTCAGAATCCTGGTGTTGAAGCTTCCTGCTATAATGCTATATATGTTCACTCTCTTCACATAATGAGCATGTGTTTTGAAGCAGTCGCTTTTCAAGGTCAATGCTTTTTCAGACAACTGTACTGCAATATGAGTCATAGGAGTTAATGACATAAACCAGTTGGTATAAAGCCACTGGCTTTTGGGTAAGTGGCAATTGAAAAAGAGCAGAGTTCTCAGCCCCTTATTTTCCTTCTCTGTCTGGTCACTGGAGTCATAAAAAGGAAATGATGCTGCAGAATTTCATCTCCCTCCTGTCTGCTCATCTGCTGTAGGGAGCGGTTGTCTCATCCAGGTTCACTGGGCCAAAGAAAAGAATCACACTTGAGTGAATCTCCATGTAAAAGTACAGCAAAAATTGACCCAAGCTTTATTCTGAAGATTAAGTTCACCTTTAAACATACAGTATCTTTCTTCTGGAATGGGTGTTGGAACAGAAAAGCAATAGAAAGACATTGAAAAATTTGAAAGGACAATGTAGAGTAACCACATGGGGACTTCCTTATGATCTGACACTGGTTCCTCAGCAGACAACCTAGTTGCCGGGTTGGTAATTTGTACTGAGGCTGTGGTTTGGAGTATGTTTGCAGATGTGGATGCCCAGTAGCTGCTTTAGGGAAAAGCTCAGAAGATTCTCAGCCCTGTTCACAGGACTTTCAGAGTACAAGCAGGACACTTGGGGTGCATGCTTTCCTCCAACTTTTCTAACAAATAAAGTAAAAATTCCGTAAATAGTAGGTGTTTTGTCTGTGTTAAGTCAGTCTCATGAGTTCACCAAATCTGTAAAGCTGTCAGTAGTCTTTACTCTTGGGCTTTCTCCTTGGTGCTTTAAGTGATTAAATACAAGACTGCCTTACTGCTGTTAATTCAGTGGTACCAAATACAGGGACATGACAGAAACAAGAATCTTTAGCAATCTGGTATATTTAAAATGTGTGTTATAAATCTAATAATTATATTAAACTAGAGATTTTTTCCTGTAGTGTTGTAATTTTCACATTAAATCTATGTTGTTGTGTTCCTGGATCTAGATGTAAATTCCAAAAAATCCAGATTAGGAGAATTTCCACCATACTCTCTGCATATGAATCTTTCCTCTAGGCCCATTCTCTTACTCAACAATTGCACTTTATTACAGTGTTTACACACAGCATGCTTTTATATTTAGAACCAAGTAGCATTTTGAGCTTGAGGTGGATTTGTGTCGAAATTGAGAAACTGATCAAACCACCTATCCGAGTGAAGATACTCTTATCGATAAGGAGAATGACTCCAGTGATTCCTATCTCAATTATGTGTTTCACATTTGCTTGGAAAAAAATGTCAGCTTGGCATGTAGTAGCAGCTGAATCACCAGCTGATAGCATAGCATTTAAAGCCAGAATTAGAAGCCAGTGATAACTATAGTAGACAGCTAAGTGTTGCTACATTACAGTTACTCCAAGAAAAGCTGCTCCTGTTTGTCATTCAGAGCTCTTAGAATGGTGGCTTTCCTTTAGGTTTTCCATCAAGACAATGGAATAATTTCATTTTTGTTTTCATACAGCTTAAGAGTGAAAAAGGAATGAAATCACCCAGTATGATTTTCTGCATGTTAGTTGCCATTAAATGTCATCTGTTCTCTGGAATCCAGGCCTGGTAGCATTCCTGACTAATGTGTGTCTCCCAGAAGAGTATTGAGGTTCTGATTTGAAATGTCAAAGATGAGAAATCTACTTCTTCGCTAAAGAGTTTGTTCTGGCAGTTAATGATTCTTATTGTTAAAATCAGTGCTTTATTTCTAATATGACTTCTCTGCCTTTATCGTCCACCTACGTGTCCTTATTATTTCTTTGCCCTTTACTTCAAAGATCTTTCTAGTATTCTGTGATTCCTTCCTGGATAAGTACTTGTGCGCCGCAATCAAGGAAACTAAATATTGGGGCTGGTTTGGCTGTGGTTTTTAACATACTGAAGAGACTGAAATCTCTGCCACCTTTAATGTAGACCATTCTTTCTATCTCAGTTTATTTCTGTGACATTTTCCTGCACCATTTCCAATTTTCAAACTATTTGAAAGGGCACTAGAACTGCATTCAGTTATGTATTAACAATGTCCTACATAAACTGTCTTTTTACACCGTATCAGTACTTTACATACATGTGTATACTTAAAGTAACATGTTATTTATCAGCTGTAGTTAACTCAGCTGTGTAGCCAAGTTGAAAGGTGGATATTCGGTATTCAGGCAAGTCACCTGTTCCACTTTCGGGTCATCTTCTTTTGCCAGCACTGTCTCATGCATAATGCATAACAAACTAACTGAAGTTTTTAAGTTGAAATGGACCACCATAGATCCCCAGCTTCCCCGATGATAAATTTGGATCCATGTCAGCAAAGGTCAGGAAGTTCGATTGAAATTGGTTCTCTCTGGTGAACTTTGCAACTCCTGGCTCTCCAGCAAGCAATGGATAAACTGGACCTCATGGTGCTTTTATACCTCATCACCATTTGTATGTTCTCTCAGATATGATTTTCATTTTTCTAAAAGACTTTGTATGTGATATTTTGGTTTGAATATTAAATTCTGTCTTTTAAAAAAAAAAAAAAAAAAAGACATGCATGCTTTCCTAGTCCCTAAATAACTATTCACTGGTTTGAACTAATCATTTTACCCTGTGTTCCTCCTATCCCACTTAATAAGACTATTTATCCGGTATTTCTATAGTAACCCTTGAACCAATGAATGCTAAAACATTAAGAATCTTTTTGCTTTAATCAATAATTTGCATTCTTTGGCATCAGATCTCATTACACAGAATTTACATAATATCAAAATAAAATCTCTCTTACAATACCTTATTTCATGTTTAGGAAAAGTCCTGAAAACCTTAACAGTCACTCAGAACAGCTCAAGGAGAAAGAAAAGCAAGGTTTTTTCAGGGCAATAAAAAAGAAAAAGAAGAAATCTCAAACTGTAAGTACACAGTATTTCTAACAGAAAATATGTTTATCAGGTTTGAATTATACCATTTTTATGTGCTAGATTAGTACAGTTCCTTTGTATTTGTGATCATGCCTGCGTGTATCTATTTGTTCTTTTATTTTCTGTCTTGACAATATGAAAGTTAAATTCCTTTCCTGTTCAGGGTTTATTTATCAGCCTTTTCAAATATTTCTTCGTCTACTAGTCCTGTGCATCTTTGTTTTCATTCAGACTCATTGAGAGCCAGTTTCGATGCAAGTTTTAAGCTGATGTTGTGGAAAATTCTTTTGCAGGATATGGTGATACCGTTCCAAGAATAGCAAAAGCATTATTGTGTTGTCTTCAGAACTTGAATAATTTCAGACACCCATTACGAGGAGATCAAACTGTTATAAATGAGAATTCTTTCAATTTTTTTTCATGGCAGAGTCTTGATAACAGCCTTCTTGCTATATCCCATGGCTGGAATAAGGATGATGTGTCTTAACTATTCTTAATGTATTATGTTTTGTTGGGGGAGTGGATATGTGGCTTTTGTTATTCGGTGCAAGCCTTTGGTATCTTTTATATGTTTTTACATTTTCATCTAGTTTTTGGGAGGGAGAAAGAACTTTCTTTTATCAGAGAGCAGCAGTATGTTAACATTTCACAGTTTCATAAAGAAAATCTCCCTAAGAATGGAAGTAACCTAAACATCATCTTGTCTCATTCTCAAATAACAGTTATGGAAATAGTAAAATATTTAAAATTTCATCTACATTACTTTGCAACGTTTCTGTAAGTGTAACTGTGGTTCTGTAAGTGTAACTTTTGAAAGTTTTCAGAATGGAGTAAAATCATGCTCACTCCTGGTGAAGGGGGGTAAAATCAAAATATCTACTGTCACGGAGTGAGGTGGCATGACTCTGGTTGTTGATGGAGGGCTGATCTGTTGAAAACTGAGGGAGAGGAGTGACTATCAGGCTTTTTTTTTTAGTTTCTTTGAACTATATGGAACGTGTGCATGTGTGTGTTAACTAGCACTCAAATATGCGCCTCGCCTTCCTGCTGGGCAGGTTTTAAGCAGTGGCATCTACCTCACCTTCTGAACTTGTTCATCCTGATACCTGTACGCAGTTCAAATACAATCATTTGCATTACACAACTGACCAAAAAGTCTACATTATAACTCTGAAATTATTTGATAGCAAAATGTCCATAAAAGGATAACACACCTAAGGCCAGTGGTTCCAGTGATGCATTTTTTTTTAAAAAAAAAAAAAAAGCTGTTAAATTTGCACTGTTCTAGTACACTTTGATTCCAGCCATTCACATGTGGTGGCAAGGAACACTTCAAAAGCACAGCTGATCAATGGTATATCAACTACTTCTAGATTAAACTGTGTGAAGGAAATATAGATGGGACTGTGTTGCATCTCACGATCTGGCACTTCCTAGTACATGTAAATCGCAAGTACCTTGATCTATAGCTACCAAAACCATAATTGATTACAAGACAGGATAGATTTATATATAACCCTTACTCCTGTTTCTTCTCACTCTTATGAAGAGAGGTAGAGGAGACGGGGAGAGAGAGATTGGTGTGGCTAGTTAAGCTAGTATCTCACAGGAAGATGAATAAATTAGTGAAATAAGATAGTGATCAAAATCTTGCATCCTCAGCTGGAAACTTGCTGACATCAACTTGATATTTGGATGCAAGCAGAGATTGAAAAACTTCATTTCTACTTACAGCTGTTTAACAGGGCAGTATCTAGCGGTGGACTGTACCTGCCCAAATGTACAAGTGTCTGGTTCAAACACTGTTCTTTGTCTGGTAGCTGAGCACATCTACCTAACGAACATTGGGATGTTCATTAGGATCTTCCAGCACAAACAAAAATTCAGTTCAGCACCAAGTTTGATTTCAATAGCAAAAGCTGTGAATAGCACTGTAATATTAGCTCCAACTATATGAATAATGTTTTCTATGAATTCATATTAAAAATCTAGCAGATACCTTGTGACTACCCAATTTTTTCCTGATGCTTATAATTCTGTTAGAATCCTAGACGCATGAAATTCCACTTACATACTCTGACTTTCTTCAGCAAATAACAAACTAGACCTGAGAACTGTCACAACACCGAGAAGCACATCATAGCTAGCTACTATTTACTTCTGATATCCTCTGGCATGTCTTATTTTGCTGATGAGCATCATAGGAGATACTTGAAATTGGATTGAAGACATCTTCTTAATAATGTCATTCTCAAAGTCTCTGATAGCCCAGAAGTGATCCCAATTCCTGATACTTCCTCCTGCAGTGTTGTTCCCATTAATCAGTCTCCCTAGAGTTCTCCAGGTACAGTTCCTCATGGGACAATAATTGTTACTATCTGCTACGGGAATTCTTGGCAATACTGTTTTGCAGAGCTGTTCCTATCCTCATTTTCTTCTTGTTTGGAGTCTTTTAGTAACATAGCAAAAAGTTTTGAGGATTGCTAGAATCATAGTTCTTTCTGTTATCTGCCACCAAACAATTTGATATCCGTGAGAGCTGTGCACAATGTCAATAGGCACTATCTTCAGAGGAGGCTGAATTTTGCAGATACTGGCACATATTGTAAGCTAAGGGTCTGAAGAAATTATCTGCTTTGGAAAAAGCAGTTGCAGGTGAGCATTTCTCCTAGTGATGCTTTGATTCCTTTTTAATTTACTGAACTTGAAACAGGAAATTCTTCTGACCATAAAGTTCCTAAACAAGCTATGCTAATTTAGTGACTTTTTCTTTCGTTACTTTGGAAGGACTCTAGAAATTGAGAAAGCTGTTTGAAAACCCTCACTATTGGTAGTGCACCAATCATTCTCTGGAGTCATGTAATCATTATATTTTATTATAAAGTTTTCTTTCAGTAGGCAGAATAATGCTAGACACATTATAGGTGTCTTATGCTTGTTTGTACCTGAGCAGGGGAGAAATAGTCTGGTTCATAATTTTAATACTTGATAGTTCTGTTTGTTGTTTGTGCATCCCCTGGCACGCTCTTCAGTTGTGTTACGAAATTAGAATAAAACAACCAGTGCCCTTGCAGTTATACATGAGGTTGTTGACGGCATATTTTTGTCAGAACTGAAATAATTCATCTTGGAGCCTTAGCTCCTTTTACAGGATAAAAATAGAATACTTTTTTTCTTCTGGAGGTACCTATCAACTGCTCATTCTAAAACCGATTGCTGTTATTGTTAGTATATCTTTGATATTTTATTTATATAAAGATAAGAAATGTCATACTGCTTTAGATCGTTATCATAAGTGACAAATTGTTGCCAAAACTATAGGATCTGATCCAAAGCTCAGTAAAGTCAACAAGACCTACCAATTGTTTCCAAAAGGCTTTGAAACGCACTCTGCGTTCCTAATGAACATGGATATAAGAATAGGTGTACTGAGCTCTTTTTATATGCATTGAGTTCCTTGAATTTGTTCCATATGCTTTTGTCATTCAATCACAATTGTATTTTCCCAAAGCAAATTGTAGGATTGATACCATATATTGTTGGAATTTAAAAAAAAAAAAAAATAGGGAAAATAAAAAGAATTAATTTAGTAAGGACAGATCTCCTGAATTGAAATGCTATGCATTTAGTTTTTGTATCTTATATTGCAGACAGACTCAACCAACGGGGAGAATCCAAGCATCAAGAAATCCCTCTTTCCTCTTTTTAATTCAAAGAATAATTTAAAGCATAGTTCTTCTTTGAAAAAGCTTCCTGTAGTCACTCTACCCATGGTATTAATTTTTAAGTACAGTAGCACTGTAAAATGCTCCAGTAAACTTGTTTTACTGACTACAGCAGCATGTGTTTTATTTTCATGGGATCACTTTCTCTTCATGCCAGTTAAGTATCTTGGGACAGTTCGATAAATTTAAGTAAAATTTGCAGTTCTGCTGAAATAGGTTGTGCCAAAAAAATAATTTTTTTTAGGTTTAATGTACTGAAAATGTAACATACGCAGTTTCAGAAAAGAATGAGCCTTGGGACTAAAACTAAAGGATGAAAATAGTTGTGAAATCATGTATGTTTAAAATTAAACTGTCTCATTCTGTTTCAATCAGGAAAAAAAAAAACAATATGGTCTCTTCTATAGCTATTTGGAAATACATCTTTTTATGCAAACTACTCCTTTATATATGAACTTAATTAATAAAATCTTAACAACATGTTATCTGAAAACTAAATTTTAGCTCATGCATCTGTATTTTTGTTTGTCCTGATCATTCATGTTAAAAGACAGCTTCTATTAAGTAGGTTACATTTTAAGTGTCCTTTTTTTGCTTAGAACTCTTGAAATGAGCTAAAACTCTACATATCAATTTTAAATTATCCTTCTGCCATAAATCTTGTTGGATTTTCAGCGGCGGGGGGTGG